CTGATGCCAGCACATGTCAAACACGATTGTTAGCGGGACCTCCCCCTGGACTCTCATGGTGAAGGGCTGCAGCCCACCCCACCAAACCTCCTACGCATGGGGCTGGTAGGGCAGCACTCTCCTGCTCTCCCCCTGGGCAGCCTGTTTTGCTGCAATTATACACCACACGTGTTCATCAAGGGGAACAGCCAGACATGATGGATTTACTGCCCTTTGGGGAGCCAGTGTGGAGCCCTCACCGACGTCACAGGGCTCCCATGTGCACATTGCACGGAGAAAACAAACACCTCGAGGCCATGTGCAAACTCCCAGCACCCGAGGTGCTTTGAGCCCCATAGTGCACATGGCTGTACCTGTGGGGTGTTCTTGGGGCCAAGCAGGTGACTGAGCTACACCTGCACTGACCTGCTCCTCTCACCCACAGGAATAACAGTGGAGAGGACATGGGAGCAAGGAAAGTCTTTGGCTTCTGAGATGGCAATATATACATGTATCCAGTTGTCTTTCTGGCCTCAAATTCCTTGAGAAAACATTCTAAAGGTAGACTGAAAATACACCCAGAACATGCTGAAAGGTTAAACAGCTGAAGAACACTTGGTGCTTGGAGGGTTTTGCTTGCTTTGCACAAAACAACAATAATGCAGAACCTTTGTAACCCTTCTGACCTTAAGAAATAGCTGCACATGTAGTGCTGTGTGCCCATCCCCTTCTATCCCCACACTCTTAGGGTGACTACTTTAGCATTATGAGGAACTATTCAGATTGTGGTGTCTATCCAAACTTGGAGCATCACTGACACATGTACAGCAAACTCTGAACTGTGTCCAAACACCATTTACAGAAAAGCAACACTGGTGCCTCCAGTTCTGCCCAGTTTCCCCAAGGCAGCTGCAGTTGCCTCTGAGGAGCTGCCAGTTCAGCTCCACTTACTGCTGCTCTTGGCATCCCTCGCTTTAAGCTAACAAGGAAGCAAATTCCTGGACTGGATACTCTTAACATGAGACCACAGCAATACCAATGACTGTGGGAGATCTGGACAGAGGTAGGACTTTCGTGTGTGTTACTTGAGAGCTTTCAAGAAAGTTTCAAGACCTCCCCAACAACGGCTGGCCCTGCAGAGGTGTGCTAAAGGAGCACTCCTGCCTCAGCAGGCAGTACTAAAATACTCAAACCTAGATTTTAATAACATCCAGGAACACAACAGCATTAATTGGATATTTTTCCCAGAAACAAGTAATAGGTATCTAAATCAACCAAAAGAAAATCATTACTGTGACACAACAGGAGTGGCGGATTACATGAGTCCTCCCTGCGGAGCTTACAGTCACCTCACTGAGGTGAGTCCATGTGGGGCTGCGAGTCCCTGAGTGAAAAAACAACAGAAATGGAAAGCACAGGACTTACCCAGCCATGGCCACATCTGTGTTGCAGCAGTGCTGGAGCCTTGTGCCCACCTCAGACCTTCCAATGGCTCCTACAGAGTCGCCAAGCAGCATCACAGCCAGGCTGAGAGCAGGATGAGCCCTGCAACCACCCACACTCAGGTGCAGGGACTTTGCTGGACCCACAGGAAATGAGCCAGGACTCTGATTGAAAATGGCCTGCACCTGTCTGATACAAACCCCTCTCTTTGCAAAGCCTGTGGAGACCATCCAGAGTCACGGAGGGGTCAGTTTTTAGCCTTTACAAAGGCTCCATCATGGCAGATGCCTGCTCCACACACTGGCTCCCCTGCTCTGGTGATAACTGTTATTCAGCTGCAGTTTATTTTCATCGAGCAGGATTTGAGCATCCCCTCTCCAGACCCTCAGCCTCTCAGTGCCCGGTTCCTGGCCCGTGCTCCCCGGCCATGGCGTGAGGGGAGCCAGCGGCCATTTTCCCGGGCCAGGCGTCCCTGAGGTTTCGAAGGCCACGGTGCTGGCTGTTTGTAGGGATGGACAGTCCCTTCCAGGGAAACACGTCCAGCTCAGCGTGCAGGGTGTGTTTCTGGTTCTACCAGAGGCGGGATTTAACATTGTAACAGTTTTGGAGAAAATATGGAATAAATATCCAAAGTAGAGCACTTGTTGCTCGGAGCCCCACAGTGCCCGGAGAACAGCTCATCGGAGCAGAACCATGAACTCATCTGAAACGGTTTCTTACATTAAAGCTCCCTTCAGGAGGGATGTGCATTTTTCACAGGAGTTCCCCCTGCTCTGCCGAGCCTCTGCCCCTCAGGAACATGTTTGTTCTCTCGCTCTGAGCCTGACTGCAGGCTCGTTCTGAGGGAAGTCAGCGGTGTCAGGGGGGCTGAGTCCCCCTCTGAGGAAACGAAGTGTGGCTTAGGGGGGTGAGGTCCCCTCCTCTATCCTCCCAGACCATCAGAGCAGTTCAGGCAGGACGGGCTCTGCTCACACCCACAGCAGCCATGCGTTTCTTGCTCTGAGGGATGACCAGTCAAGGCAGTGAGTTCACTCTACAAGCGGCCACGCTCCTCCCGGGTGCAGGAAAGCCCCTGCAGAAAGGGTCTCTCATGCCCTGATTCCCTCCAGCACAGCTCAGGGAGGATATGTGTGTCCCCGGGCTGTGCTCGCAGCCACTGCCCCCTGTTCCAGCCCTTGTGGAAGATCTGGAGTCCTTCACCTTCACCAGCTCCCTCATATCCCCTTCACCCCAAGCTACCCCACAGCAGCTGAGAACGGAAGTGAAAGTTTTGTCTGGGCAGAGAGAGGCTTCTCCTGAACAGAAAAAATAACACACAGACACAAAATGTCCCTGTGCTTTGGTAGCAACAGTGTCAGTGGGTTTTTACCACTTCTCATTTGATCATGACTCTTGCTCTATTTGGTGTTTTCACTCCATCTCGTTTCCTGAAATTCTGTTAGAATTTTATTTTGAAGCAAAATCCACGTCTAGTTTTGTGGCTGTGACACAAAGTTTGAAAGTGTGGTCCATAGCTCTGAAAAACTCAGGAAAAAACCTGTAATGCCCCCATGTACACACGCCCCCATGTACACACGTCTGCACCTTTTCCTTCTGCTGTGTGTAAAGCTGAGGGTATGCACAGAAATATGGGCACTTAGTTTGTATTTATCAAAGCCAAAAGGGGACACAGGGTTTTAAACAATCAACCATTGTACATATTATAACTACATATATATATATAAATACAGAGCATTCGTATACATTTGCATTCTCATACTGCTTTAATCACTTCTGTTAGGCTTTTAATCCCTCAGTGTACAAGAGGCTTCTGGAATCTAATGTACAGATTCAGGAGAATCTATCAATCTTGCATGGCAGGGCTGTAATTAAGAATGGTTAAGTGAGAGGTGTGTGAGCAGCAGGTTGCGTAGACCTTTCATTTGCAGACAAGCTCTCAGAGTAAGTTATTCTTCCCTGATTTATATTATAAAATGCACTTTAATCTGTTTCAAACAAAACCTATTCAGAGTTGTGTCATTTCTGAGACATACAGGCAAATGAGTGAGGATGGAAAAGTCCAAGGGTAACAGGAACTAAAAATACATGTTTAATTCTTTACTAGGGCATTTCAGCGTAATTCCAGTTTGGATTATTGCAGCTTCTGCTGCTGGAATATCTGGCTTATTACTCAACAGAACCTGGAGGCTGGGAGAAGAAGATTAGGGGATACAGAATGTTACATAGAAAAAAATGAGAGTTAGGCTGTAGGTGTTTCCTAGGCACAGGAGCTCATGTAATCTAAATTTTCTGTGGGAATCTGTGTAGTAGTTGTGGTACCTTCCTGTTGCCAAAGATGAGAGTTTTTCCAGTGGTCTCAGGGAAATTAATTAAAAAAGGGTAAGGAGTTGTTGGTCTGATAACACAAGACTGCGGAGTTGGTTGTAAAGGTATATTGGATAAGGCTCACAAAACAAGGAGAAACTGGAATCAGTTACTCTTACTAGTTCTTTTATGGTCTATTAACAGTTACTTCATTTTTCCATCTCTTGTGTGTTTGATAAGATGTAGATCTTGTTACAGCATGACTTTATAATCATTCATTCATTTCCCATGCACAGTAGAGGAATAACTGCCGCAGCAGTTTGCAGTGTGGTCCCTGCTCTGAGTGTTTCTTTGTCTCTGTAACTTCATCTCTGGCTTGGCAACATCTGCTGAGAGCAGGCAGTGAGAATCCTTAACGCTGCCAGAACACAGCCCAGAGAGCATCCGAAACTCTTCCCTGTCTGCTGGCTGGATTATTCCATGAAAGCCAGCAGATGCAGCCTGTGTGTGTGCCTGCCTAGGGGAGGGTCCCTGTACCTGAGATCCTCTGCAGATATGAGCAGTGTCTCGTGGGGAACTCTCATTTAGTATGCGGAATAAAATCACTGTGGCACCGATCATATGATCTGAAGACTCAATCCTGAGGCAGCACTACTGAAAAGGGGAGGTGAAACCAAGACATTCTGTTCAGACAGCGTGAGGCTGCGAGCAGCACACGAGCTGCATCCAGCAGGCAGAGCAGAGCAGAGCTGCTGGACTGGGCTGGGCAACGTGTGGTCAGGAAACCACAGGAAAGCTTCATTTCTGGCCAGTCTGCATTTTGTCAGGGTGCACCACTGGTGTTACTGGAGCAAAGGAAATCCGCTGCTCCGCGTGATTAAAGGGAAAGGCAGTGAGAGCTACAGAAGATCACTGTGAAACTCCTTTGATAACCACCTTGAACACCCTCTCGGGAGCGAATTCTACCCTTGGAGAGAACTGGTTCCAACTGACTGTCTGGAAAGTGGGATGGAAAGGATGCATGTTATGAGGAAGCCTTTCACTGGCAGCAGAGCAAACTAGAGGAGAACTTTCACCTGCATTGCTGGCATTTGGGAAAAATAATACAAGAAAGAATTCTGCTGCCAGCATTCTTTTTTAGTTTCTTCCTCACTAGTCCTAGAGAGAGATTTTGTAGTTCCCTCCTGAGGAAAACACCAACCAGAACTCAGAATCCTGCAGACTTTCCCAAGAACAGGCATGGTACAAAATGTGATTTTGGTGTTTTTCCGCAGGCGACTCAGCCAAAGACCCGCTGTTGAGGAGCTGGAAAGAAGGAATATCCTTAAACGTGAGTATTTTTTTTTTCCTCAACTACTTTATATGCATTTGTTGAAACCTGTGATTGCATTTCCAGAACCTATTATTCTTAAATAGATGAATTCATTCACTGGGATTATTTTCTGTACCTAAAAGTTTTAATTTTTCACAAAGACATGCAATTTAGGACAGACAAGAACTGTTCAGATTCAGGCTTTCGAAAATAATTTTCATTCTGATTACACTGTTATGGCTGTCCAAGAGGGGAATACAATTCCCTCAGTACCATGAGAATGGGAGTGACATTTCTCAAGACATGGATTGTCAAGGCAAACCACACATGGAGGCTGCAGTGGAAGGGGGAACATCCTTACAGAGGGGTGGTTCTCCTAAAATACATTTGTTATGCCACTGGAGATCTTCCCAAAGACAAGTCAAAGATCATTCTGAGATGTCAGAGCTATCAGAGGGAGAGTCCCAGGACTGTTAGAAATGTTGCCACAGGAGAATGTTCTCAGCATCTCTCAAATTCTCAAAGCAAAACTTGCAACTCTTTTCCTAAAGATTGGTGTTCGGAGCAGGGGATCAAACAAGTGATGAACATAAACCCTTTCCTTACTGGGAACCCTCTAAACTAGGGGAAGGTGAGAGGGAGATTTGAAATTGTCTCAGACATAAGAGAGGGGGAATCTATCTGCTTAAAGGAAAAGTTTATTGCTTCTTTTATTTTCATGGTCTAGTTAGTGTTGAAAGACAGAACCCAGAATAATTTGAACTATAATTTCTCACTAAACAAGCATAAATTTGTCATACAAGCAATGCTGCCTATGCAATTTAATTTATATTTAATCACAGGCTTGTAATTTGCTACTAAAAAAGTTACCTACATTGTGTTACCTAAAATTTCTTAGTGGTTTCTAAAAAAAACCCCTTGTGCTCTTGCCATGGAAGTTACCAGGATTTCATTTCAGTTTTAACACAAAGAAATTCCATAGTCGACATATATTTACCAGTATTTTCTGTACTGTTCCAATGCACAGATCACACCCAGTAAAATTAACTGTATTTACCATTTGCATAGCTCCATGAGAAAAGGATATCCCCCTTGAAATGTGAGGGATGAACTTGGCCAAACTTCACCTGTCATCCACCACAAGAGGCAAGAAAAAGCAGTAACCCAAGATTCTGAAATAGGTTGGGCCAGATTTTCAAGAGTCAATAACCAAGATCTCTGAAAATCTGTTTCTTTGGGTTTTTTCCTGGCTAAGGAAGAGCTGATCTCTACTGAAAAATCTGTTCTTTTATGTTTACTTTTTGAAGTGTGCTGGTTACATCCTTAATCTGGGTTAAACTGACCAGCTTCAATAATAAAAAAGTTTGAATACATTCATATAATGAGCTTAGAGAGAGATAAAGCAGAAAGAAGATAAAGCAGAATTAAAGATAGTTCCTGAATTCCAGCTAAACATACTGGGCTGGATTTGTATCTCATTTAAAGAACTTCCAGCATGGAGCAAATTTATTGACTTCTGTTGGGTTGCTCAGGCTTTATACAGGTTCAGAACCACTTCCATTTTATTTACCTCTGCCATTATATAAAAAGCTGAGTATCCTGTGAAGAGCTACAGTCACCACAGAGCTGTGCCAGGTATAAACTTCAACTGCTGGACAGGTGCAACAACTCTGCTCTCGGTTTTGGGTGAACTCAGAAATTAGTAAAGGCTCCTCTTTATTAATAAGAAATTTTTGTTATGGACTTTAAAATAGCTTTTAAAATAGACTTCAATAGCCTTCTTGTTATGGATTTTATAAAACCCCTCCATGGATTGGGTGTGACATGCAGAGCTGTAGAGTACAGACGCCCTTCAGTGAAATCACCACAACCTCCTCCAGGTACAAAGGGTTGCATGGCTTTAAACTCTAAGTTTCCCAGCCCCTTGGATGTTCATAGTTTATACTGCTGACAGAAGCAATGCTACCCCCAAAGCTCTCTTAAGGACCTACAAATCACATTTGTACAACTGGCAAAAAGAGAAGCATATTGCACAAGCCTAAGTGCAACTCCTGTTATTTTAAAGCGAATCTCAGCAAGATTTCAAAAAGTGATTTCTTATCTCCCTTAGGGAGATGTTTCTGAGATCAACACATAAAAAGCAAACTGAAAGCCAACACTTTCTTATAATTTTGTTCATCTTCCAAGTCCTTTATCTATAGAAACACTGCTGGTTTCCCACCAAGCATGAAAAGCTTGAACTAAAATCACAACCCAGGTGTCAGATGTGTCCTCTGTCCTCAACAAAGAGCTGAATTTCACATTCAAGGAGGCATCTCTTGAACCACTGTGTACAATTCTTATTTCATTCTTAGCTCAAGCAATTGTTTTAGTGTCGTGCAGAGCTGAGGGTTCCCTGAAGAACTGGCAGAGCAGCAGAATGAATTATAGCACTGCCCAGGCCCCCTCAGGATTGGGAGCATCTCTGCTGAGACTTATAAACCCAGCCCTCAGTAATGAATGGATGTGTGTGGGCAGAGTGATGGGGGTGGGAAAAGCCTCTCTGGATTGTCTCAGTAATAATGCCTGAGTTCTAAAATGCCCTTGCCAGCATTTCCTATCAAATCTTCCTTTTTTTTTTCTTTTTTTTTTTTTTTTAAAGGACTATTTCTTGTATTTCTCGGAGCTGGGAATAAGCACTGAACCCGAGTGAATGTCAAATAGAAATGGGTCACTGCATGTTGAGTATACTTGGAAAAGCATTTTTTTAACAGAAATGTGTATTTTTGGCTTTCCTTTAGGAATTAGAATCACTGAATCATGGAATGGATTGGTTGGAAGGGACCTTAAAGTTCATCTTGTTCCATGCCCTGCCATGGGCAGGGACACCTTCCACTAGCCCAGGTTGCTCCAAGCCCTGTCCAGTCTGGCCTTGGGCACTTCCAGGGATCCCGGGGCAGCCACAGCTCCTCTGGGCAATTCTCTCACTGCATATCACACCATGTCTTAGAAAGGCACCATGCCATGGAAAATTCTCTTTTTTTAATAAAAAATACATATAGAAATATCTACTCTAAAAGGGGTGAATTAAAGCTGAATGAATAACCTCTTGCAGGTATCTCTACATCCAAGAATACCCTCTGCTTTTTAAAGCCTGTTCTCTTTTTAAACATTCCCCACTGAAATAGCTGCTCATCCCTGACACAGCACTAATTTTAGCTGACCTGTTCTCTTTACATTTCGTGCCTTGCCACTGAACTGTAATAAAGCACATTACAGCATTTTAAATTCTCTGATTTACATTTCTACTACAGCCAGTTGTAGCTCTGCAAGTACTACGTTACTTTAAATAGACACTTATGATTGCATTTCAGCATAGTCTAATGAGCATAAAAATCAGGGAGAACACTTCATTATTAAAAATAGCTTTTTGGAAACTCATTTGCACTGTTGGTGGTTTTTTGAGGCACGTTAGAAATCACGTGTGTGTTTAACACTGGAAATATCTCATGCAAGTGGTGTAATGGGCTCCACAGGAGCATCCGGAGAATCCCACAATGGTTAAACCTTTCTCTGCAGCTTTGTTCAGGTCATGGGCTCACTCCTGATTTAGTAACAGATAGTACTGGAAATAGAAACGCCATTAACTTGTTTCCTAAGGCAGGGGATGGATTTCAGCAGTGTTACAGCACTCCAGGCTATTTTTAGAGCCAGTGTGGAGGAGTTCTCACGGCTTGAATGTTAATAGGCACAACACACAAAGCCAGGCTGGCTGGGGTAGGACAGAGCACTGCAAAGGAACCCCGGGAGGATAAAGAGCTTCTCATGGCAGGAGGAGCAGGGAAAGCAAAACGTGCAGGTCACAGCCCAGCACTGCAGCACTGCCACCATGTAGCCTGAGAAAACCAGGAGAGAGGACAGAACATACTTTCCCTGGAGTTGCTGCAATGAGGCTCCTCAGCATCCAAGAGCAGTGAATGGCTCCAGCAATATGGAGAGTAAAACATGATCATTAACCAACTATGGGATATTTTGATTTTCCTCCTCAAGTTTATACAAGTGGAGAGTTGGTGTGGCTGCTGTTTTATTAAATCTGCTTGGAGCTGGAATTCAGAGCACAGGGAACCTGCCATTGGAAGCAATGCCTTGTCCTCCCAGAGAGGTAGCTCCATGTTCTGATACATGACACAGAGATGAACTGACTTAACACAACCAGGAACCAGCTCCTCGTTTTTCTGTGCTCATTATTGCCTGGAACTTGAGAAAACACCAAATTCCCTCATGAGGAAAGTCATCTTTTTTTTTATATTCTCTGCAGAACGAAATGATCAGACGGAGCAGGAAGAAAGAAGGGAAATCAAACAGAGACTGACAAGAAAGGTAAAAACTTGCAATACCTGCTATTAGCTTTTAGAAATTACCTAACAGAAATTCTAGAAATTAGCAAAGCTACTGTAACATCAACCAGTCATTATTACACAGAACCTCCCTTAATATACAACCTCCTCAGCAGTGTCTCACAATGTTTAGTAATAGGGATTATAAAAATCCTTACCTTTTCTCAGCTCCATGAGACTTAGTAGAATACTTACATATAAACTGTAAGTCAGAAAATGGGTATATATTGCTAGAAAAGGACATTTTCCTTCATTGGAGCAGTAGCTGGCAGAGCTGAGCCCCTGCTGAGCCCCAGGTGTGCTCCAGTGGAACATTCCTCTTTGTGTTTGAAGTATTCCCAGAACTAGTTGTTGTTGTTCTGTTCCTGGGAATCCCTACGGGAATTGGAAACCAAACACGCTGATAACTCGCTAAAGCCAAACTGAAATTCTTACAGTGGATCCAGCCAGGAGAATCTCACCCAGACAATCTGCCTCTGCCTGTAGAACACCCCAACAGGATCCACTGTCATCCAGAGAACTTACCAAATCCACCAGGATTCCTTTACATTTTGCAAGTGTATTTGATTGGTAGCCAGGTTAAAATATTGGTAGCCAGGCACTGTGCTGCAGCCCATTTACACCATTACTACTCTGCTAAAGGTCCTCCAAATGATTAATATTCCCTGAAATTTCCAAGGATTGGGTGGGTTTCCCTCCACATAAATGCACACTAGGGTAAGAAGCAGAAAAATCGCATATTTTACTGATACCTTTGTTATTAACCCTGGTTTTATTTTTCAAAATGACTGAATACAGCTTAACCAGAGACCTACAGTCGATGAACTGAGAGACAGAAAAATCCTGATTCGATTCAGTGATTATGTGGAAGTGGCAAAGGCACAGGACTACGACAGGAGAGCAGACAAACCATGGACACGACTCTCAGCAGCAGACAAGGTACTGCCAGAGCTAAAATCACACACAACTGCTTTCTCCTTGCTTTGTCTGGAACGATACATCACATTCTGCAACGACATTTAACCACTGGGACATTTAATCTCTGTACAGTTCACCATTATTTTCTATGCTGAGATCACACTGACCAATGCATCCTGTCAGGAAAAATGCTATTTATAAAAATACCTATTTAGTGCTGGAAGGGCTTCTACCCAGCCCACCCAAAAAGGTGGATACAATCACTGGGCATTTTCAGCCAATATAACATTAACATTTCTTCTCAGACTGGAAGTTTTGTCCCAGACACGCAAATATTCTCCGCTGTGTTTCTAAACATGCAAAGATTTCCTCTCCTCTTCCCTATGAATGCTCAAGGAGTCACTTGACCCACATTCTCAGGAGCACAAACAAACACTCAGTTTGTGTCACATACCTGCCACTCACTGATTTCCATCCCAGTCGAACTGTCACATTGAGGTCCTTGAGCAGTAAGAGCAGTTCAGCTCTAGATTCCAGCTGGGAGTGCTGCTGGATAAGTTGGGAGGTTTCAGGAGCAGGGTGCTGAGATGTACTGGCAAAATGGCAAACACGGGACTGTTACTTGTGGTTTTGTTCTGAGATGTGGAGCTCAAACCCTTCAGTCTCCATCCTCAGTAAAAAAACCCAAATGGATTCAGAGGACTCATATGGAAAAGGAACAGAGCATTTCTCCTCCAGCAGCTCTTCTCCTGAGCAAAATGGTGAATATCCTATAGTAATCAATAAATAATGATTTTGTATTTTCCTTGTAGGTACTCAGCTTTTATTAAAATTAGGCTTTTCCTAGTTCCAATTATTGCTAACAAGGCAGGTTCATAAGCAAAACCAAAATGACAGTTCAACTGCATGTGCTGGTGGCTCCCATCAGGGAGTCAGGGTCAGGAGCTGGGCTGGAAAAGGATCAATTGCTTGGCAACTCCTGTTAGTCTTTAATAAATTTTAACTGGAATCTTATTAAATGTGAGACAATAAGCCCTGGGGTGTTATTCTGTCAGAAGTGCTTCTAGACAGCAGTGGCCCTGTCAGCAATCAATAATGAATGAGAAGGGTTGTGTCACCAATCCATAGAACCTAAATATTCTGTGTCTCTGGCAGCACAGTGGGCTCTGCTATACCCAATACCTGCAATTTCTGCTGTAGAAAACTGTTCTGCAAGTCTGGCATTTTGCAATGCTCACAAATACAAAATTACTTTTACTATATAATTCTTTGTTTTTCTATTTTCAATCCCCAGGCAGCAATTCGGAAAGAGCTGAATGAGTACAAAAGCAATGAAATGGAGGTACATGCATCCAGCAAACATTTGACAAGGTCAGTTTTCCACCTATTTACTTCCATTGCCTGCTAAAAACAGTCTCTTGAGTCTTGCATCTGTACATTTTATTCTTACATGATGTGGGAGAAGAATATGCAAAGGGAGCTTTGTTTTAAAAGAAAATGGAAGTATTTCTCTCCCTGTTCAGAATCTGGATTTTCTGATTTTGTTGGGGCTTTTAATAGCATGTACCCAGCAGACCTTCTCCAGAGCAGCCCTCAGCCAGCATTCCTTGCACCAAAGATCCAAAAGATAGGCCAAAAAATTAATGTAGGGTAAAATGTACAAAGCAATATGAGTTTTTTGAAGCAGAAGAACAACTTAATACACTTTATAAAGGTCTTTGAATCAAATATACTTTAGTCTGCAACATTATCACGAACACTGCAGTTTGCCTGCTAAGAAATATAAAACTCTACCTGCAGTAACAAACACACCTAATGCCCCTGGGTAATGCACTTGTTCTAATTGGATTTGTTCTAATGGATTCAGCCTGGGGATTTCAGGATCCCCTGTCAGGCCACTTGCTCTTGGAAGGAGTGCAACCCCCCAGGGAACTTCTTGGCAGTCAGGTGAGGACTGGAGCAGGTCAGGAGAGGGAACAAGTTTGGAGTATTGTCACTCTCTGTCACATTCCCAGGCTTATTCCTGAACTCACAATGAATTCCAGCTTAACTGAGCTCGGGCTGGTCAATGAACAGATGGTCCAGGCAAACACACTTCAGCTGTAAATGCAATGTCCAATGTGATATTTATATAATTCCAGACTGTTCCTGCAATTTAAGGCCCTTTTAACATGACAGGACTCAGACTCAGTGTTTAGGGCAAAAATCATCACTGCACTGATGGAATGAAACACGGGAGGGGAAAAGGGGATGGCTGCAGTGTCAGTCTCAGAGTGACACCTACATTCTCCAACTGAAGCTACCTGGGATGTTTAGGTAGATGATAATGATAGATTTGGAAATTTGTTCAGGATACTAGGAATAAACAGGCTTACAATTTACAGTTAGTGCTAAGGCATTTCAAATGACTGGAACTTTAATTGTGTATCTCAGCCTAAAGAACAAGCCTACAGAGCAAGAGGATATTTATTCCAGACTCATAATCACACACTCCACCAACAGTAGCTCCTCAGACTTTATGAAACGTCAACACTGTTAGCTCTTACAAAAGAACAAAATCACCACACAATAAAGAATATTGCCACCAATGACAACCTGTGGCTTCATTTGCTAAAAGAAAAGAACCTCAAATCAACCCCACACCTGTATTTGCATTTGCACTCCCAAATTGCTGTAACTGGTTAAACTGGGCCCTGAGGATCGTCCCTGCACTACAGTCCTGGCACATGGTGAAAATGAAGACTTAGAGGTGCTGATATTCTTCAACACTGTTACTGTACCTTTAAACAGAGTGAATAGTTTTGTGGGTTTTTTAAATTTTTGTTAATTTAACAGAGAACTGAACTATCTTTTGTTTTCTGTTTCAAAGCGGTTTGATGAATGTCTCTCATCTCTCCCAGATTTCACAGGCCATAGAAATTTTCTTCTGAGAAGAATCTGTCTTTACTTTTTGATATTGCTGCTGAACACGCATCAGGGAATATCTGAGTCTTTCCCTCAAGTTCAGAGCAGGATCCCTTGGTGTTTGTGTGAAGGAAGGACTCTGAGCTGAGGTCTCTGCAGCACTTATGGACAGAGAGCCCAGGGCTGCCCCTCGCTCTGGAGGCAGGAGAGCCATGGCCTGGGATTGGGATGAGCTGCTGACAAAGACTGAAGCAAAGCTACTTGGAAGAGCCTCCTACTCTCACACTTGTTTGGAACTGTTTTGCAGCCTGTCTTGGAAGAGGAGATGTTGTGCATGTACAGGCTTTACCATTCCAAGGCCTCTGACATAAACGGACATGACACACTGTCATCCAGTATTATGTTGACGAGACATTTTGAACTTGCCACAATTAGTTTGTAAAACACTTCAGTTCATGTTCTAAAAACTAATTTAATGTATTATAATTTCATTCTTTTTTATATAATGTCTAACAGAATCACAGCTGCAAGCATTTTTGATTCCTGTTACTTTTGTTCTTTAATTAAATGACTACTTATTGCAGGAAATGAACATGTTTCCTAAAGCTCTTTTTTCCCAGGGACAGTTGGGAAGGGAAGAGATTATAATTATTCTGCACCAGACCATTGCACCTCTTCATCAACATGAAGTCTGCAAAAAGAAGATCCCAACTAAGGTTTTTCCATCTCATGGAATAGCAGAACCTGATTGTCATCCTCCACTACTTGAGGCTCTGACCCTCTAAAGAATGACAATTAAGTTCACTGTTATTCTCATTCAAAATGACTAAATTGGACAAGCACAGGTAGAAATGTAACAATGTACTTTGATATTTAGCAAACAAATGATTTTAATGCTTTCTTGACAGTAAGAAGAAAAAAGTTACTAAGTGCTAATAACAAAGCAGATAGAACTGGCTGAGAAAAACGTAAAGCCAGGCATTCTAATAATGCCTGACACGGAGGAGCATCTGAGAATTTACTCAAATTACTACTAAAAAATAAAACACAGACAGCTGGAAAACACACCTGAGACAAGAACAAAATGGTGAATACACTCCCAAACATTTCTCTGCAAGACTCTTCAGTGCTATAACTTTAGGGAGTCTTTCAATGTTAAACACTTGAGAAAGGCATTCTTGGTCTTGTAGCTTCACTGAGCTGATCTCCATGGAGTGTGACAACAATAAAATCCAGTGTTTCAAATGGATGGCACAGACTACGACTGAGTTGCTGCAGGTGGGGCACAGTCAGCACACAGAGCCAGGACTGTGTGCTCAGGGTGGGGATGGACTCACACACAGTCCTGCTCCTGGAGAAGGGCAGGTCAGAGCACAGCAGCACTTCACTGTGTGTCACCAAGGCAACGAGAGGGAACTGAGGACTCCTGGCAGAGGTGCTGGCCAGGATGGGGGACACTGGCTGGCTTTGTTGGAGCTGGCTGTTGCTCTGTCCAACATTTTCATGTTTGACCTGTCTGACTGTCGTTTGAAGACCTGACTGACCCAACTACTTGATCCAAAGATGTATTTTTTCCTCTTTAGTGCAATTTTTTAACTTGCTGGATTTTCACAGAAATATGCATCATTAACTAGCTTTTTAACTTACTACTATATTTATCCATCATTTTAATTTGATTATTAATACAATAGTATTAATTCTTAAGAACAACACAGTGAGAGTTCAGATGCAATATACAAGAAGGTTGAACAGAAAGGAGAGAAAAGTTTCTTCAGCAGAGGCATTTTTAGTGTGAGAACAGCAGATGAGCCACTGTTAACTACAAACTAAACTTGGCTTATAGTCCATGAAAGTAACAATCCATACTTCCATTGCTAATAAATGCTGTATAAAACACATTAAAATGATGTTGGAAAATAAAATAAAGATAAAAATATTATAAGGGTAACTTAGAGCAGCTGTTTAAATGCCAAACAGTGCCTGTGAGCTTTGTCACTGATGCAACTCAACCATGTTGGAGCTGTGCAGGGACAGCTTCGCTCCTTCCCCTGCTCTCTGCTGTCCTTCCAGCACGTCCTTCCAGCACAACCAGCCCAGCCTTTGCTCTGCTCCTGTGGAGACACAATTCCAGAGTCACACTTGATCCCACTGATCTCCTGATGACACTCTGCCTGCTGCTGGCAAGTCTGTGGGGATGTTTGGACACTGCCTGCACTCCCTGGGCCATGGACTGGGCTTGGGAACTAGGATGGCACCATGGAAGGCAGGTGTGGCTCAGGGAGGCTCTCCTTGTGCAGCTCCTTCCCAACAGAAAAGGCAAACAGGCCTGCAGTGCCCAATTCCTGTCCCTAACTAAAAATAAGGCATTTGTATTATTTTTCCAACGTACCCTCATTGTAAGAGATAATTTGGACCTTCCAGTGCACTTTTAAAAACCTTCTACAATTCAGAGAAAACTCGAATTTCATGCAGATGAAATTCAATTAGACCAGTGGAAAGGAAAGTTTACCAGCTCAGGAGGTCCATCTAGTGGAGAACACACTGAGTACAGGCCAAAAAACCCTCAAACCACACAAAACTGAGGCTCAGAAAGACGAGCAAAGCATTAGTACACTTACATAGGTGGGATGAGCGGACCCAATTATTTACTGGCAATTTCAATATAATGATTTCCAGACACAACACAGCCTTGTGTTTTCAAAATTCTTACACAAAATATTTGTGCAGCAGCTTTATCTGACTGATGTGCCAATGCATATTATTGATTTGAAGCAAAACAGCAATGACATCATCGTGGGGAAAAAAACCCCAGATAATATATACTTTTCTGGACTTAATGCAACTATTTGCAACATAGTTCAAACACAAGTGTTTAGAGTGTTGTTTTCTCTCAGAAACTCCTGCTGAAGTCTAATACCACAAACAAGACTGAGATCAAACCAGGTGACTCGATCCCTAAATAATTTCTGACTCCATTCTGGATCAGACAAAGTGGGTCTTCTGTACATACAGACCCAAAACAAAGATTCAAAGTGAAATTCAGTGTGACTTCTCTGGCAGTCATTTAAATAACCTTTAAATGTCTTTAATTGTTAAAGACATTTAAAAGTAGCACGTACTAAAATAAAATTACATATTACTTTTTAGCAGATTCAGTAAAATAATCCCAAATCTCACAGATAAGTGGAGAAGTTTTGTCTGCAATGATTTTAATATTATTAAGGAAAATATGGTTTCATTACACCAGTTTCCTTGAGTGCAAAAAAAAAAAAAAAAGTCAAATTTTCCATTATAAAAGAGTGTTTATATTCACCTTGAAGTTCAGGAAGGAATCTGAAAAATATCCCTTCAGAATTCAGTCTTTGATCGAAACAGGGTCTGCAATCCTCTGCGAACATTGCACAGCTCCTCTTCTTGCTGTGCAAAAAACATCACACTTATCACATGCTTTTGAAAAAAGGAAGGTTTTATTTAACATGTTGTACTCCTGGTGCACAGAATATGCTGCTTTTAACAGATCAAATAGGATACTTTTCCACAGATTAAGACTCAGAACCAAACCAGTACATTCACGTCTACCTGTGGCTTTTATCACCCGGGTAAGGTCTAAAGTGCAACATGTCAGTGATACTTGGATTTAAAATCTTAGTAATTTAGTGTTCAAACAGCAAAAAATAAATAAAAATGAGTGCAAGATGACTTCATTTACCATTTCTTTTAGAAGTTTCTCTTGGATTCCTTTTATGTCTTCTTTCATCAGATGCATCTGCAAAAAAGATCCTGAATGCATCTCCTCTGCTCATAACTGGTGACACATTTTCAAGCAAACAATTACATCCCTCAATGTTTTATAACCAAGAGACAGAGATGCACATGCATCCACCTGCCTATGGAAAGGGATGTGTGTTTTAAATTTTTTCTTTCTGGGATGAAGAACATAAATATTCATAAACAAAATAAACAAAGCCATGGAATCCAGAATAAATCTTGGTTAACTGCACACGTCTTCTAATGGGTGAAATCCTGGCCTAAAACAGTGAATATTGTTAAATTAAGGGCATTTTATGAGAACTAAAACCTAAAAAAAGTATCATCAATACAATGCTAAGGATAAAGTCTTTCTTCAGAAGAAAAAGTCAGTACTGGTATCTGTTGGTGCAATTGAAGAATTATTAAAACAAGAGTGAAACAAAAGCTCCTCATACAAAACAGAAGTTCCTCCTACCTCTGAAGTAAAAATACGTTCTTCATAGTCAACAGAATGGTAGATATTCTTTTCAAATGAAGTTTTAAGAACCTGAATTCTAAAGAAACAAAACACAGTTCAAACAGTTTTGCTAGGTATAAACTTCCCACACAGACCACAAACAGGCCCCATTATTTGTAATCTATTTGTACTTTAAAGTAAATGATGATAAATATCATCATCATTGCTGTAACAGTCCCTCAGGTGTGTGGAGAAATTTAGATGGAGAATCATTACATTTTTCCTGTAATGTAATATTTTAATCTAACTGTCTCATCTCATCTACCATCTCGATTTAATGGAAGAAACTGCACAAGGAATATCAGTTGGCCTGACTTGTACCTCAAATGAACAGCCCACAAACCTCATCCCAGAACTGACAGAGCCCACTAACCTCTGCTGCTCATTTTTCATGTAAGTACTCAAAGTACTTGTCTGTTTTTTCCAAAAGGTCTGGAAAGATAGAATATTAACAGGTGCTGATCAATAGGAACTGATTTTCCAAGCCCAAACTGACCAATATCTCATATGAACAAACTAACTCACAACCACAGACTCAGCAGTTACACAGGATTTACACAGTCCCCACAGAAGCTGGAAAACCAGCCCAATAAAGTATTAGTAACAGTTTATCCTAGGAGGAAAAACATATAGGAATTCATATAGTGAATATATATATAGGAAAAACATGTAGTGACCAAGGAATTCTCAGAGCACTGGCCAATCCCAACACCTCAAATTCACTGTTTGACATTTCACTCAACTTGAAGCAAAATGATAAAGGTTTTTAAAATCAAAATTAATAATCTAAAGATGACATGAACAATCTATGGATCCCATAAGAATTCACTTTTCCCCACGATCCAGCTGTTTAAATACAAACCGAGAATTCTTTTTCCATGTTTTTCAGGGACTGAGAATCCTTTTCAAAATTCTCCAGTTCCTCAACGAGAGTAAAATGAAATTTGTCCAGCTGCCTGATCCTACCAAAACAAACCAGGTTACTTTCAGAAGGTATTCCTTGCATTTGAAGGATGTTTTAAAGTCCATCTGTCATTACTGACCTGCATTCGTGGAGTTGGTAACTCATGGTTGTCAAATGCTGATGGGCAGCTTTTAATGTTTGCTTATTAAAATGATCCATTTTCCGGGAGCGGTTCTGTGAGGGTGTTTGAACATTAAATTCAGATTATTTTCACTTCAGGGAAAAAACTGTAATATGTTTAGTACTCTAATTGCTTAATATCACATTTTTTAAAATGGTGCCCCTGTCCTTTGGGGAAAAGCTTTCTCTTAGTGACATGTAAATACACTTGAGGTTATGCTTTTGATGAAATTCTACCTAATATAAGTAAAGGTGCATTATTTGGAAAGTATACCCCTTCAAAATAGAGAAAGTACACATAGAATGAAAAATAAAACAGACATGGGAGAGAAGGTCATGGAGAGTTTAGTACATAAAGGAACTGAAAGAGGCTTAAAAGGAAACATGAATTCTGTCATCTCCTGACATTCTGTGCACTTGGCTTAAAGGGACATGAAAACCCAACTCTGTGGTGGAAGCCAAGCTACCCCCCACATGCACATGTACCCCCAGCTGACACTGCACAGGAAGACTCTTGCCTCAATCTTCTTGGTAAATTCTTTTTGGAGCTTCTGACATATGCTGAGAGTTGAACAACCAGGTTCCCAGAATTGCCCATCCAAAGCAGAGAGCTCATTGAGGGATCGAGTGGAGATGCTCTCAGACACTGCAGGGAGGCACAAAAGGAGAACGTCAAATCCAGGAGGAAAAAGCACCTACCCAGAGTTAGCACAGGGCCTAGGGCAGCTTCTGTTAAATATCAATTCATTTCACCAGTGAGATGGCTGAAACCACTTTCTATTTTCATATACATTTTCTGTCTTTTATATGGCTACAATCTCTAAATATTCAGCATTTTTATTTCTTTTCTTTGACACGTACAATGCTTTTCCTGGGATATTACATTTCCTTGTTAAAGCTTTGTCACGTTATTTTAAACTCTTGCACAACTGTACTCAAGTGTCACTCCATGACCAACCTCTGTAAGTAGCAGCATCATTTGTTTTAAATAACTTTTTGGGCTTTAAACTGATTCTTCTCCTTCCTGTCTTTTCCTCCTCTTTGCTGGTCCGTGCCTCATCAGAGCTGCTCTCTGTGTCACTGTGGTATCTTCGTTTCAGGAAGGTCTGCACAGCTGGGCCTTTAATCAACATGAGAACAAGGCTTAATTTTAGGTTTATTTAAAACAACGAGATGGGAGGATAAAGAGGATTTTATTCACCTGTCGGATCCAAACTCCTGGAATATGTGTCTTGGCTTTAAGATATGAGAGTGATGTAAAACAACAAGAAGATTTCTATGGAACACAGAACTCTGACTAATAAGCAAGTCTGGCATCATTTCCTGACAATACCATTATCCCCAGTTTTTTTCCCCAGTATCAGTGGGAATGCTTCTAACTGTTTCTTGGGAGCACAGTTAATTCTTCACTGGAGCTGCATTTTGGAGCCTAATTTTCAGCTTTGTTTGGGGATAATTAAATGAGAGAAAATTAGAAAAGGGCTAAAAATAGAATAATACTGAAAATATATAAAATATAACAATTTGGCCATATTTTTATGCCAAATAAAATATTTTTCTTAACCTTTATTGAGACGTACAGAAAGTATTTTGCTTTAATTAAATGTTTGTACCTGACTCATTTACAGGGTCATAAGGTTCTTCAGTTGAAGACTGTGCTTTACTCCCACTGGAAGCAGACAGTGGAGATGGTGGTTCACAACCCTAAAGAAAAGCCACTGATTTATTAGCTTCTAAATTACATCATTTTTAGAAGTCTCCATCAAAAATGCACATTTATGTGGTGAAAACTATATTTTTTTCGAAAGTCACTCCCTATCATTTTTTTAAATATGAATTATAACTGATCTTGTTGGGATACAATTATTTCATATGATAAACAACAAATTGTATCCATATGATAAATCATAAAAATATGATATTTATCTGAAATATTAAAAAAATCACTACTAGAATTTTCCAAGCAGGCCCCAAGTAGACATTATACAGTGTTTAATATTGAGAGAGATGCATTGCCCTTTAAGCTCCCCACTGTAAAGGAGGTGAAATGGGTAAGCTGGAGCTCACTTCTGCAGAGCAAAGAATGCATTAACTTACCTCTTTACTTTTAGTGACAGCTTTAGTGGTATCTTGTAGTTTTCCTTTAACAGAAAGTGTGTCTGAAAAGCAAAACTGGAAACTTGGATCTTCATTATTACTCCTTGTCTCTGACACAGCTCCCTTTGCATGTTTTCCGCTGTCAGGTTTATACGTCGTTAAGTTGAGCTACACAGTAACCAAAAAAAATCATTATTGAGAGATGGCCCTTAAAAATCACCAGCTGGAAAGTAGATCAAACAGACAAAAAGCAAAGAATTTAGTACCATACCTCTTCTTTGCTTTTGGTGACAGCTTTAGTGGTATCTTTCGGTTTGCCTTTAACAGGAATTGTGTCTGAAAAGCAACGCTGGAAACTTGAACCTTCGTTACTGTTACAGGTTTCCAATCCAGCTCCCTTGGAATTTTTCCCACTGACAGTTTTATATGTTGTTAGGCTGAGCTACACATTAAGAAAAAAAACCCCAAAACCATTATTGAAGGGAGATGTAGAGAAGCACAAGCCAGCTGGCAGCTGAATGGAACAACTTCAGCTAAAAGGACTGAGAGAAATGTTACCATTCTTACCAAAGATGCTTCTGTCAACACTGGGGAGAAACTTTTCTTTCCAAAGGTTGACTTTGTAGCTGTTGCCTCAGGGGACTGATTGACACATATACTGTGAATATTCTTATTTTGGGGACAGATATTATTGGGAGTGATTCCTTTCTCAGAATTTAACATCTCCCTGTTTTCTGGGGATGACTCCTGAAGACCAAGAGATCTTTCACTGGAAGTGTGCTCTGGAGTGACATTTCCTTCTGAGAGTCCTTCAGCACCTAGAAAACAATTCCTTCACTGTCAGCATGAGGAATGGAAGTTAAAAAGGGCAAGCCAAAGGTCCAAACTGCTCATTGTTCCAGCTCTAGGTGTGTCCAAGTCTCAGATGTGTGCAATTTTACTTCAAGTGCTGGCACAGGACTCGCCACACTCCCTCTTTGCACTCTCCCACTGTTTTAGCAGTTACCAGATTCATTCCAACACTTACACGTTGCTTTTCTAGGTTATACTGGTGACAAATAACTGCACCAACCTATAAAAGTGTCAGTGCCACATTAACACACTTCCTTAAGTTATGTGGAACACCCTGAGTTGGGGGATCTCTCTTATGTTAAAAGCATGAAATAAATGTAAAATTGTACTGCTGTGCTAATCCTCAATTAACCTCCAGCTTTTGACTCTGTATTGCTGGAAATTCCCAGTCCAAATACCTACATCTCATTGTCTCCAGAGATGCAGGACTCTCAGCTGAAGGCACCTCCATTTCCTTCTGTTCTGCAGGATTCTTGGATTTCTCAGGTGGTTTCTGCACACAGTTCTCTCCTCTCTTTGGCTCCACAGATAAAACCTGGGGTGCTTTTTGCTGCTTATAATCCTTGATTGCCCCATTCATAGGTTTCTATTACAATACAAATGTTATAGAAACATTTTTGCAAACATGGGGAAGTGTACACAAAAGGAGACAAAGAGCATGTTATCTCTAAGAACAAACAGAAGGAAAATTATTAGCAGGACTTAAATCCATAAGGATATCAGGTGTTCTAATATCAATAAACATTGAATTTGTTCATCTGGACACATGCATTTCTATTAATTTCAACTTGCTCATGTTGGGCACTTAAATTCAGGAGTACCAAGTACACAAACAGAGCAGAGTTAATTTTGAAAAATATGGCAGAAGTGGATTTTTAATAATGCAGTGCAACTGTATACCTGCATTTTTGATTTCTCCTCCTTGGAGGTGCATGGTGGAATTTGCCCTTCACTCTCTGACTCAGAACTGGAAGGCTCTTTGTAGTTTTTTGCTGCTGCTGCTCTTCGAGGTAGTTTCTTTCTGGAGGTTTGTTCTGTCATTTCAGCAGTTCTTGAGTTCTGTTTTTTACATTTGTTTACCTTTGGAAGAATAAAACCACCTTCAGTTTATAAGAATGATCAATAAATCAATATACAAGAAAAAAAGGTAGATACTGGATTTCAAGTAATTAAACCAAGTTATTTCAAAACAGCTAAAAAAGTTTAACTTTACCAAAGCTCAGAGAGTTTAACCATCAGTCTTCTAACAAAAGCATCAATGTATAATAGTCATTCTAACTCACAGTATTATGCCTGAAATACCAACTAAATACTACATAAAAAGAAAACAGTACCTGAAAAGAATACACAGTATTTAACAAATTATTTGGAAGTAAGCATGAAGAAATGTCACATATTTATGAAAAGTTACTTTAAAACAGTTTCTGTGGGTAGTGAAGAGATTTTGAATATACATTACAATTCTAGGTGCAAACTTACATCTACCTTTTTCTTCTTTGCATTTTTGCCTTTAGGTTTCTCCATGTGGAAAGCAGGTTCAGGGGATTCATCTGGTGTTACAACATAGCCTGAAAAAATCAATATAATGCTCAAATGTTTGCCATTAGGTTTAGCTGTAAATAACAGAAGCACTTTCATGCCCACAAACTTACTGACTCAGTAACTGCTTTCAGCCCATTATTTTAAAAAGCCTTTTTTTTTAGTTGACAACAACTTCCACCTGTCCCATCCTCCAACCCTTTTCCACATTAAAATACAGACTTTATGTAAATCAACCTTTATAAATGATTAGAGCTGATTTGAAAATTCCTTGGAAACAAGACAACAGAAACATCTGATATCTGCAACAGAGCACATGGCATGCTGTGCAGTCAGTACCTAAGGACAAACTTCTTGCAGCACTCTTCAGAAATATGAAAAAAGTTTCTTACTTTTGTCTGTGCTTATTGGTTTCCCTACTTTTTTATTTCTACTGTAACCGACTATCTGGGGTTTAGGTTTCCTCTTGGATTCCTGTAGCCAACTAATCTCTGTCTTGCTGTCATCCCCTCTGTTCTCTGTGTCTGAGTCACTAAAGAGGTGCTTCTTGTCTTGATTGTTTCTAGCCTACAAAACCCAAAGAAGTTCCCAAGTTATTGATTTATTTTTATATACATTCTTCTTCCATAACTGGTGTTTAAAGGCAGGCAGACAAGCTATACTGAGCCACAAAAATCTGAACCTTACTTGTTTTGTTCCTTTCACTTCAGTGCTGGATTTACTGACGACTGCATTCCTTAAGTAGAAAAATAAAAACCACCTTTAACGATACATTTAAAAATATTTGCTGTAAAACTTTCTGCTATTCAGGTGATATGTGGATTAAGGGTTCAAACAAATGCACTTACTTTTGTTTTCACATTATTTTGGAAATACCTGTTCACCTCAAACCCTAAAGGATGGGCTTATTTCCCAAGGATGAGTGAGAGCACACAGTAACAACACAGCCCTGGGCAGGCTGAACATGAACAAAAAAACCCCCCCTCTGATCAGGAGTTTCTATCCCTGTAGTATTCCCTGAGGAGAACTGTTCTCCCCATGGAACACATTCCCTGGAATTCTGTAACAGGATGCTGGAGAGTGCAGACAGTACTATTGATAATCAGCAGACTAGGATGCAACAGAACACCCTACCCTTTTTTGGTTGTCTCTGTATGAACACTCAGTTCAGTAACATGCAATTCTTGGACCTAAAAATAGAAATAAATAAAGAACAAACCAAGGTTTTCATTTGTTATACAATCTGAACAAAATTCAACAGCTAAAGGCTCCTTTTCCTCAGTTATTATACTAAGTAATTAATGGTCATTAATTTCTATCTTAGAATTCATTTAGCAGAGCTGATAGTTTAAACCAGCTGGAACTGAGCAAAGCTTTCAGTGTCTCAAACCAATCCCCCCACTTGCTTCACCACCTTCCCCAATTCAGAAGGCTCCTCTGAGCTTAAGAAGCAAAATTATCTTTTGTTGTCTTCTGTTTTTATCATCATTAGATTCTCTTTTTACTCAAACATCTGCACAAAGACGTTCTTTAAACGGGGATTGGAAGGATGGCAATAACATTTTTGGGATAATAGAATATAGAATATTTTAAAATAATGATACCCCCATGCAAACTGTTTAATTCTTAATTCAAGAAAAACTTCATAACAGCTTGAAGTGGCCAGAACCTTAGGACAGTTATACATTTACACATTACATATTTGAGAGTGCTGGAGGTATTTACATGGCAAACTTCTTTCCCCACTTAGTTCACTGATATAATTTGAATGTTGAGATCTTAACTATCCTTTCAGCAAACAAAATTTGACTGATTTCCTTTATATTCTAGTCATAAAATACAGGATTCAGTTATATTCTTACTCCAAGCTTTATTGTAGGCTCATCAAACCCACTGAGTTTAAAGTTGTAGACATCATCCCTGCAAACAGACACAGAGAGCAATTTTGTGGCTGAATTAATGAACATTTCCCAGAGTCAGGTGTGGGCAATCAGAAATTGTGCTTCAAAATGTTCTAACTACTTACATGATATGACCAGCAGTTATATTAAGAAAAGAAGTGGTTTTCAGGATTCTGTCCTGAACTTCTTCCTATACAGAAATGAAAAGTTGGCTCACATGGCAAATTTGGACTATGCATTCAGAAACTCTGTCATCTCAAAAAGCAAGTTCATCATGAAGATAACCATGTTGATTAGCAACAAAGGGGAGGAACTACATCTTTGTCTTTTAAGGATATCAACAAAACCTCAGAATTTTTTTGCCCCCCAAACATTATGACTCATTTCTGTGTCCTGGCTCTATCTACTTTAAGGATTCCATAATTTTATTTTTGATATTATTTTAATTCTAAATATTTAGCATTGACACGTACAAAAGGCAGAGATTAAATATATAATATGCCAACAGAAATTAATTTGGGTTTCACTAGATGACGGTTGCCAGTAAAAACTACTGTTCCACATGGGTATTTTAAATTTATGCAGTCAATACAAAATTAACATCTACAGATACTTAACATTCACTGGTGTTTGTGAAATGTCCCTTTACACCTACTGATTCCCACCACATTTGTACACACAGCTGCTATGAAAAGCAATTCTAACAAAAGCAATAATATGTTACCTTGGAGTTCCAGGATTTATTTAAATATGGCCTAAAAATAAACACACATTCTGTTAAATGCTAATTGCAACACTGCCTGTATCAGCAAAAGCCTTCTCAAAGCCAGCAAACCTATTCATGTGTTTAAATACAACATCAATTAAAAGATTCAAAGGATTGAAAGAGCTCAGCCCCTTTCACTCATGTCATCCATCCCCCATGACAGACCAAGCCCCAGGAATCAGCCCAGCAGGGACAGTTCCCAGCCTACCTGTTCAAACCCAAGGAGTCTCTTGCTTTGCTCTTCTCATCACTCTTGTCTTTGTACCTGTCACTGATTTTACTGATCAGTGATTTGGCTGCATCTGAGATTTCTTTAGACTTTGGTTTCTATAAAAACAGTTGAAGACTTAACTTTGAATTCATCCAACAGAAGAACAAAGCTGTAAATAGAACTTCAGGTTCCCAAAAAAACCCCTAAACTGCATTAAATGTCTTCTAGATGTAGTAAATCATATTTCCTTGCAAACCATTTCCCCCTGCATTGCCCAGAGAGTGTGCAAGGAAACATGAGTTTAGCAGTGTTTGCTTTTAAATAATGTGGGTTTGGGAAGTGTAACATTCAAAAGTGAGTAAGGAAGGGCATGAGAAGCACAAGTCGGCCGTTATTTAAGAATAATTTTGACAAAGAAATTCAGAGTAAACTAATCTTAAACACGTCACTGAAAACAGCAAAAAGTGAAGGCGATATTATTTCTTCATTTGGTATTTGTGGAAAATCAATTAAAAGTAAGTTTGTGACTAAATGACAGTAAAACCACAAATTTTGGAACACTGAAAATTTGACAATTCTCTTAATTGCAAATCCAAGAAAGGAAGGTAAGAAATTCTCACAGGCTTTGATGGTTTTGGATTTGCAGCCTCTTTTCTGAGGAGAACTTCGGGTTCCTCTTTTGGAAGCTCAGAATGCAAAGATGTGTCGGCCACTCTGGCTGAAAGAAAGGTTTTAAACCATGTTTCAGCAGTAGTTTCAACATTTTTCCCTTCTGTACTTAACAGTTTCTGTTCCAAAGAATTAACACTCTGACTGCCCACTTGGTATGGTCTCTATTTCATTTTCTTGCTTCTCTTCTCTTTATTTAATTTGTTTATCTGGAGAGGTACTTCAAAGAGTGAATAAATAAATGCCTTTTGTTTCACAGCTCTTTCACTAACAATAGAGAGGAAAGCAGGACAGAAAAGCACAGCTGCCAGGTGACAGTTTATCTGATCTGTTTTGAACAGTTAACCATGTGTGAACATAACCTGGATGGGATGGACGTGCCACTGCCGGATTTGGCTTTTGCTTGTCCCCAGTGGTCCCACTTTTCTCAGGAAGAGGGGATGTTCTTTTTTTCCATGTTTCAGTTTTATCAAAAGAACTCTCCATAAGTCCAGGCAGCCTAAAGGCAACACCACCTTACTGTCAGTGAATTGCAGAAAGTGACTTTTAATGACAATAAACATGGGTCACAAAATAGGAAAATAATGGAATCTAACACATATCAAAGTATTTTACATGGCAACATAATTTCAGTTCTGGTAATACTTGAAATATTCCCTTCAAGTGAGTGCCAACAGTGAATTCTTTTCTAATACTTACAAGGGTTTGTTGCTTTTCCCAACTGGCTGAGAATCAGGAACGATATCAAACACTTCACCTATGAGACATTAACTTGGTGTCAATTATTATGGCCAAAGGAATGGACAAAATTAAAATGATATTAAAAGTAAGGATTAGCAATGCTTGTAAAATTACTTGCCTAAAGTTTGCTCTTCTGCAGCCTCTTGTATAAATTTTAAAACTTCTTCAGCACATTTTTGCTACAGTGGAATAACACCCAAAAGGAAATATTAGCATAGGACCATAAGCAGTATAACCTCATAAACTTGTACTTTACCTAAGAAAATATGAAATTCCTTTTTGTTTTAGTTCATGGAAGTGCTGCTCCAGTACCTTTTCATGTGCTTTTGCCTCATTTCTGGTGTTTAACCTCCTGATCTGTTCTGTTTCAAAGAATTCATCATCCAGTGTCAATCTTTGCCATCTCTAAAAAGCACAGTAACACTGACAATTACAGTCCATAAAAGATAAAGAAGCAAAATTCTCCTAGAAACAGACACTTGAAATATTCTAAACAAAACATTCTATAACTTAAAGCCTTCCTCTAAAGCATGGCTGTATCCAAAAATGCTTCAGAATCCCATAGTCTGGGGCTTGACCCGAATCTGACCAAGACAGACATTTAGAACCAGAAATAAAATCAAAGTGTTACTTTGTAGTCATTGTTCAACTGGAACAGAACCAAAAATAAAAACATACTTACACTGCAGTTCAGTGACACCTCTACAGTTTTTTGTGATAGCAGTGAATATCTGACCAAAAATGCACTAAAACCAATGCTATAAATGCCATAACCTGAGGCCATTCACATTTCCCAGCTGCAGCTGAATGTATTCTATGTTTTATGAGTACTTCAATCCTGCAGAATCCATGCCAGATTCTGTGCATGCACCTTTCTCCTATTACACACAAAGGAAGAACTGAGGGTCTAGTAAAAGCAGGTTAATTCTGGAGTTCAAACTGATGAGTGAATGCAAATTTTAGCTAATTAAGAGTTCATTCTGACTTTGGACATATCAAACCTGAAATCCAGAGGACAAGAAAACATTATGCAGTAAAGTAAAACACAATATTTTCTACAAGACAGTTGCCGAGTCTAGCTCTTTAAAATATGAATTAGGAACAAATTAGAATAGAAATTAATGTTTTTGTAAGTAAAAGACTTAGCTACAGATGACATGCATACTCCAGTAGAGTCCTGATAGGAAATCTTTGTTCTGGTCTCATTTGTTGCACTGCTGTCAGACCTCTTAGTGGAGCTCGTCATTTCCAGAGGCAATTTAAATCTCCCTTTAAAAGGAGTGGCTGGAACAAAGCAGAGACATGTAGGAATTCCACCACTGCTTTCATTACAATGACTGGGTTGTCTGGGACATCAGTAGGAAGAGTTTTTGCCCATGATCACACCAAAAGTTGGTTAGTATTGATAACAATCCATTACAGCCCCTTCTCTTGATTTCAACTCTGTTATGTGGAGATTAAGAGCCCACAGACTGTGGGTGTCCAGAGGCAAAGCAAAGCTTTTACAGGCTGGCTCCAGTAGAAAATAGTTGGTCACTCTTTAAAGATTTCCCAGTCAGATATTTTTGCTGAACTGAGAGCTGCAGGACAAATGGCAGGTGCCCCCCAGTTACAGGGAACCCCTGGGCAGCCACTGTCCCACAGCACGTCTCTGGACCGGGACAAGTGCCCTCGTTCAAAAATTTCGAGTTTAAAAATTGCAAGTTTAAAGCATCTGCTCAGGAGATTTTACAAAGTCTCCTTTTCATTTCCAGCTCTGCCAGGGAGCACAGTCCATGCTTGTGTTTCAAAGACAACTTATAAAATATTTTTACCCCGGAGGCTCTTGCAAACTCACATGTGCTAACAAAGGTCAGTGGACTCCTTGTGGAAGTTCTTGTAGTTCCAGGAACAATCACAGAGGCTTCAGACATTTTCCTCGTCCGAGAGGGAGTGATCTGGAGGAACAGAAAGAACTTGACCATGATACACTGATTTAAGCAGCACAAGACTTTAGAAAATCTTTTTCCAAGAGCCTCTTGACACTTTCCATTCCTGGAATGGCAGTTGCTGTTGCTGCAGGTATCAATGTCATGGCATTTTCAGGCAGTTCCCTTTTTGAAGAAAGTTCCCTGAAACACCTGAATGATATAATGCTTAAACTGAACATTTTCAAACTGAGGTCACTGATTGTTGTTTTCTAAATTAATTCAATGAATTAATTTGTTCACAAAGAGGTTCCCTGGAGATCTTTTCCCCTTGCCCAGTATTCTCCAGAGGCCATCCTTGACTTCTGCAAACCAGGAGATCCGAGCACGTCTTGAAAACATTTCTCTTTAGAGCATAATGGTCTAAAGAACATTAACAATTCCTTTTTACTTTGGTCACATTATTAAGAGATCCAAAGTACCAATGAGAATGTTTTTTGCAAAAGGATTTTTACAGCTATGTCAAGTCCCAATCAAACCCTAAATTAACTATATTTCAAATGTCAAATAAGCAGAGGTTTATGTTATTAAATGTTATAAATATTTAAATTGACTTGTATTTCTTCTCTACTCTTTTTGTTTTCACAATCCTACTCACCTTGGAGGAATCCCCTCTGCATTTTTCTTGACTGTTATTTTTATTCTGAGTCCTCAAACTTTCAGGAAGATGCTGAGTTTTCTTCTTACTGAGTTTCTCCTCCTGTTCAGATTTTTCTTTCAAACCTGGTGACAACTGGCTTTCTGGTACCATAACCTATATAATATTTTCATTTTATTTAATTGCATACAATATTTGGATTTTATGTTTTATATTTACACAAACACACAGGGTAACTTCTTTACCCTAAATAACACACTCCTCACTGTAGATTTTGATAAACTTCAGAGGTTACAGACTTTTAGTTTGAAAAGCCTCCACCCTAATTGCTATTTTCTCTAACAAGGATGGGTTATCGAGTCACAATTCACATAAAAGAATATATTTGTCTGGTTTATTCTTTGATTGGGATAATAATATCTCCCCAAAAATACAATATATACACAGTAGCCATCACTTGCTGGCTTTAGACTTATCTATACTTCGAGATATATTCAAAGTCCTTGTTTCTACCATGACAGATTATAAATTAGCAAATAATCAGACTAAATACACAAACCCACGAAATAAAATACCTGTGATCCACTTTCATCAAAGAGGACATGGACAGCTGTTTTGGCAACTGAGGCAGTTTGCTTCTTACTCCCATCCTACAAAGGGAGGAACCACCCACGTCAAAACAGACACTTCGCTCTTGGGTTAAACAAGGAACAGAAAATATTTAAGTGAAAGATCATAAGTGTCTGAAAGCAGATTATAGAGGCAAAGAGATGCTATAAAGCAGTTCCATTCCTCAGGAATTCCTCAGTCAGACTTCAGGACAAAGTGGTTCTTAGAAGGAGGAAAGTGTGACTTTAAGTGCATTAAGCACATTTATTTTGAATTAATTAAAAACTATTCAAAAAGGTGTTTCAATCTTACCTTACATTTACTAAATCCATAAATCTTTCTGGTTATGTCTTTGATTTCCAAGATGGAATTAAAATACAAAGAAAATTTCTCTCCTTCCAGATTACCCACATTCATTGGGCTTTTGAGATCTATCGTTAATAATTTCTTTGAGTCTTTTTCTGGACAAAAACAAAATTTGAAAAGTTCCTTTATTACAATTTAACAACATCTCATATAACGTTTGTAAACACATGACACTTATTCTTCAGTACAGCTACTAAGATGTATATTTTAATTCACTCCACAATAAATTTTATTAGTGAAACAATTCAAGATTCCATCTTTTAGGAATAATTATTCTTTATATTATTCCATAGAATTTTCTTTGAGGGTTATTTACTATAACTGCAGACCAACTATGGGTATTTACTATTCTAATTAGTTTAAAGGAATATTAGTTCCTGTCATTGTCTTTTGCCTTATTTTGTATTGAAATAACTAGAAGACATTATTTTTAAATTATTTTCATAAAATCACACCTGCATATCCAAAATGCAAATGTGACTGCAATGCAATTTTATCTTAGATAAAACCAGTTTCTACATTATTTTAAATGAGAGTTTTGCTTTGCTGAGAACTGAGCCAGTAATTCAGGATTAATTGCTTTGAAAATCCAAGTTAGCATGTCCCAAAAGGTCCCATTTTTGAGTGCAAATACCTTCAAGGCTGTACATGTTCACCTCTTCTTCTGGTATGATCACTGTTTCCCACTGCTGACCCTTACATGAAAAACACATTTTTAAAGATAGAAAATTCTGATATTACAACTAAATGAAATGCAGTGATCAGAAAGTCATTCAGTGAGGACAAATTTTCAGCTTTTTAAATCTCTGTTAGGAAGAGTGACATGGAACAAATGCTTCACCACTGCATATGTTAAACTATTTCCAAACAGCATTAGAAAATCATTACTTTGAAATTCTTTGATCTAAATATGTACAGCAAATCTGGATTTTTTTCCCCCTCCACACTGGAATAAGTTCAACATGTTGATGTGGGGAAACAAATCTGATACACTTGAAAGAATCTGGATCTACTGCCTCAGTCTGAGAGACAAAAATCACTTACTGCATCATCTGCTGCCACATAGAAAGAGATACTTTTGCTACCAACGTTGAAATCAACCCAGAATTCCTCCAGATTTTCATCCAGTGGGAACTGGAGCTAAAAGAAAAAGAAAAAATAATAAGAGCAGAGAGCACTGGTTTACACCAGCTTACAAGCTTTGTGTTGGTCTCACAAGCTTTCAGTACGTGCCTGTCTGAATCCTTCCAAAAAAAACCAATTTTCTTACCTTATCCCTATTTTTTATTAACTAGAAGGCAGAGAAACTTACCTCATATTTATCAAGAGCTGCTGATAAACACGGATATGTAAAAACCCTGTAAGAAAAGGATATTTTTTTCAAGTATTCTACAATGCTGTAAACAAACTTTGCATATGTGAAAGTAGCAACTGGGTTGTGTTTTCACAAACTTGTGTGCTTTAGAGACTAAGAGATCCCAGCAATCAAAAATCACTTTTTCCCCAAGAAAGAAACTTTATTAGCTCTAAAAAAAAAATCAGTTTTACCTTCTTTTGTCTCCAAGCATGCCATTCACCTGGTTAAGAAACTTCCTGCAGTCCTATAAAACACGGAAATTTCTTAAAGAATTGTAAAATGGAAGTTTACCCCCCCGGGAATATTTTTCATATGACTTACTGTTTCAAACTCAGAATCTTTAATTCCTTTAAATGCATTGGACACAAACTCCATGGAAAACCACTGGGAGGCCAGTTCTGCTCTTTGCTTCTCTGAGATCATTCTGCACAAAGCTTCTGTGATGGCCACTTGCATGTCATAGTCTGCAGGAAAAGGAGATTTAAAGACACTACTGAGGTGAAAAAATATTATGAGGAAAGTGGTATAAGCAGCGCTGACCATTTCATATTCTAAATCCTATTATATCCAAATATGTAACCCCCAAAGGATAAGTGGATTAAAAAAGTACAGGAGTAATGATGACCAAACTTATTTTTCCAAAGGAAATTCCAACCCAACCTTGCAGGACTGTCAGAGCCCCCCCACGGGGTGTACACGCCAAGGAAAGCCGTTTTCAGCTTTCCCCTGTCTGACCTGGGAAATTGTTGGCTACCAAAAGGATCCTTAGAGAAGTTCCAGTACTCAAAGCTTGACTTCCTCATCATCTTTTGCTATTTTAAAACTTAGATTCTAGAGAAGAACTGAACCCTTCAGTGAGTTACCCATGCACTGAACACACTGAGACACTCCAGTCTGCAGATTGTTTTCAGGCAGTATTTGTACTTTTCAGATGGCTCAATCACCACATTCTGCAGCTTCTGAATGTCTTCTCTGGTTTTTTAACGGCTCTGCATCTGATTTTTAGGAACCCTAATACTAAATTAAGTCCCATGCTCACCTCCAGCATCCAAAATTCTCCTCCCCATTTCGCTCCTGCCAAACAAAGTAACGTTTCATCAGAAGATGAGAGCAACACAGAGCACAGAAAGCTTTAATTATAAATTTTCAATGTATGAGAGAAAACTCTGATTCCACCAGCCTGTAAGACTTAAAAAGGGGTAAGTCTGAGGATGTGGAAGGACTACTGGGGAAAATCACCTTATATATACAATTTTTATTCTGTTTGTTTTTTCAAGTGCTGCAAACCAATTTCCCAGTGTGAACCAGCCTGTCTTTCCACTCACTGATTCCCTGTGCTTTACACACATTCTTATAAGAAAGAGTTTAATTGTTTTATGAACACTGGGATGAGAAAAAGCCTGACCCAGACTGGAAAAGAAGAAAATTCATGGAGAATAACCCATGACAATACCTGCCCACAGCCACTATCTTGGACAACTCCATAGCAAATGCAACTCAAATTAAATAGGGACCAAACTGCACAAACTATAAACAGGCTCAGTAAAAACTGCCCTCCCAGCTCTGCAAATGATGTAATGATATAAAAATGATACTGAAGATTATTTACATGACCAGTAACATTTCCTTTGTAGAAAATAACTTTTTCTTGGCCTCTCGGGGTATGTTGTCAAGCATTAAATTCAGTTTTCTTACTACCTAAGAAGAGTGGAAAAAAGGGAGTAAGAGGAAATATAAAGGAAGTTTGATATTCTTATTTTGGGCCATTGTAATATATTTGAGAACACTGAAGAAAGCAAAATGCAAAATGCTTAAATAACAATGAGTTCTATCTGACATGAAAGGGTATTTATCTTAATATAACTACCTCAATTTCAGTAAATCACATTAGTTTTAACGTGAACATTAGTTCTTAAAGGGTTATGTTTCTTATTTGCAGGTTTAAATATAGAAAAAAAATCTTTCTAAGCTGGAGTTCTGTCTGCAGTTGATTGCTGAGCTAAAATGTCCCTTAAATTAGCATTAAAAAGCCTTTCCTTTGGGGATGCAGCCTTTTTGTGACTTTCCCTTTATCTTTAGAGGGAAAAAAACCCCTGACTCTGTTTTTGTAGCATCTCTACAGTTAAATAACTGTCTTCACAAAGTCTGTTAACACAGTGACCAGAAAACTGTTGCTTAGAAAGAAGAATGTTTACCTCCTGCTGAACATAAATACTAATTCTTACATCAGTGATGAGGGAACATGTTCTCAGAACAAAGTTTTCCAGTATTTGCATTTTACCTAACAAACAGGAAAAGAATAAATTAGAGAGTTGAAAAGAATAAATTAAACCTTCAGATGTAGTGCACATGTTTTTTAAGCTCACCTTCAGGTCTGCTCTCACACACAGCCTGCAGTGAGAAACAAAACAAAGACATCATTTTGATACAGCAAATATTGCAGCAGAAAAATCAGGCAAAATGTACCTGAAGGAAGTAATCAAAAAGAATTCAGGACTTTGAAATTATTTCGTCCTTAACAAAGAATATAAGAAATGATTTCTACTACCACGTGTGGTTTCCTGAAATTTTATTTCAGTTAAATTTACTGAAATTATTTCACCAATGACAAAAATTTTTATGAAAAGAAGCAACTCACAGATCTTATAAACTTGGGGCCCTGGATTAGCAAACTGATAACTTATGTAATCAAAATTTGATCAAGAGGAAATTTTTTTTTGTTCATTGAACACTTAATGTTGTGGATTTTTTAAAGGTCATTTCATGATGCCAACCATGAACAGAAAACAAGTATAAATACAGCAAGCTGTTTATCCCCAGAGACTTATAATCTATTTCAAAAATCACTATAACACGAACTTTAGAGAGATATTCAATAGAAACACACTTGAAAGTTCTTTTGCTGCTAAACTAGTAACAACTATCATGACAAATTTTAGTATCAATATATTTTTACCAGTAGCACATTGAAGAAATCTTCAGCCAGACTTGTAAGCATTTCATTCCTTTCATTTCCTCTGAGGACCAAAATTCCTTTTAACTTTTCAAACCAGTTGACCATGTAAAGGAAAAATAAAAGTGAAACTATTTTAATAACCTGGAAAAGGACACTAGTTTGTATTATACTTCAGGAAAACTACACAAAGATTAAAACAACAACAGCATTACCAGTCTGCTGAGCACATGTCAGCCTCAGACTGAAATTTTTCACTCAGACTAAAGCAAAATGTGGAGATTTCAAGGACTTTGCAACACAAAAACTGGAGATCTACTTTGACATCTGCCATCACAGACAGAAGAGATGAAAATGCAAATGGCTCAGTGTTGTTTGTAGGTGTGAATATAAGCACAAAGTTATCACCACACTGGTTTATTATTATGAAAGCAGCTGAGAAGGCAGTCGAGTAGCACTGACATTGCCATTAATTCTCTTCAGGGAAATGTCTCAGGAAAGCAGCAGGAAGTGGGTGGTGTCTATTGTTCTGTATAGTTACTGAGTTGCAAATGATTAATGCATCCAATAACACAAAATAATCACAAGAGCACTAAAATCTGCTGAAAGAGCAGGTACAAAATCGCTGCTGTGAGAATTCACAAAAAAACAATCTTCAAATGGCACCAGGAAATTCTAATTTCCAACTTCAAAGCAGTCCAGCAAACTCATATAAAAATATGTAATGTTGTTGTAATTGCTGTAAGCATATCTAAATTAATTCTATATTGCATAATTTGCAAACCCCTCACTGTGATAGAGCAGCATCTTTATAAGGGGGTCACTTGACAAAGAACATTCAAATGTTTGTTGCAAAGTTATGGGAAATTCTTAATTCTGAAACAACCAAGGACCAAATCAAACACTGAGCAGGTCAGCACAGGAGCATCACTTATGCACTTGGTGAATTTTTATGTATTTCTTGAGAAGTTCATATATGTTTTATGGTTTTACTTATCCTTCCAACAAGCCCGTATTTCATCAGTGCTGGGAGCCCATCCTCTCCTGCTATGCTGATTTTTTCCCCACATTTCTGGACGACATTTAGTAAAGTAGAAACACTTTTCACTTCTTGTTTGTCAAGTTCCTGAAATCGAAATTACAACAGAAGCTTTAATGGACAGTTCCAGAAGAACTAGATAATTAAGCAGATGCCTTTTTTGTTCTCGAAAGCCACTTTAATTGCAGCTTGAAGGAGAGATTTCAGTCTTAAACTTTATTTCAGGCTTTCAAATCAACTGCTGGTATAAACCAAGGCAAATGAAATATTTCAGACTGTTGCAATGCCAGTGCAGATGATTGGGATGCAATGGTTACGTTACCCGACACAGAAGCTTGTCTAATTTGTTCACAAACTGTTTGCTGCTTTTGTAAGAGACATTTTCAGAGTCTTCTGTGGCCAGAAATTTCTCTAATAATTGGCAATCTTTTTTTCTTGTAGCTTCATCAATTAACTTTTCCAACTGTCAACAATAAAACAAAGCAGCTGTATTACTGTGTGCTTAGCAACTATACAGATTTAACAGGATTTCATGCAGGTTTTCTGCATTCACCTGCTCCATTCGAAGCAAATATCCTGAATCACAAAATAATTAAACGTAAAACCTAAAGAACAGAACATCATATCTAATACATCAATCATGCAAATACTTGTACACTGGGATTTTAATTATTTCCCAGTTTTCCTCAACTGGCTTTTCTTTCCTGCTATTACAACTAAATTCCTACATAAGTGTTCATTGTCTTAATTGCCCTTCCCTAGTACACTTAACATTTTACTTTACCAAGTAACTTCAACTATTTTGCCCCTCTATTCTTTCTAAATCAGTTATACCCAGGTTTCAGCATTTTGATCTTAAGTATCACCTCATTGATTCATCTATGTCAAATGCACAATTTATTTTTATCAATAAGTCTCTAGTTCCTCTTGCTTTCCACCCACCTATTTCACACTAATCTATGGCAAAGGAAAGTCTCTTCCTACCCCACTGCACCGCCATGCTGCAGATTTGACTTGCAATTGAGTACCTGAAGGAGTGCTTTAAGCCAGTAATTAAAACAATCAATGCTCATGTTCTGGTCCATCAGCACATACCTGCATCTCACTCCTGGCTGTCATTTTTGCAATTCACCAACTCAGCTGTGTAACAACGGGAACAATCATCACTTAGGCTTCAAACAGGTTTCACAAACACATCAGTAATGCATTACAAAACTCATTACAAATTCCAAAGTTTGTCACTAGGGTAAATGCTATATAAATGCTATTTAAGAATTTAAACTAACTGGGGATATAAGAAACAGCAGAACTCCATAAGGGCCTCGCTATAAAATGCCAGATTAAATAATTTAACAAAAACATGGTAAATGACACAGCAAAAAAGCCTTCTGAATTATACACACAGTGATGGGCTCCAAGGTGACCGTCACCAGCAAAAGGTCTCAGTAAGTTTTATGAAAACAAGTGTCTAAGTATTCAACAGCAGGCAAAGTGTTTTCTGTAACATCTAAAAAAACCAACAAACTTGTTCATGCTTTGTACGAATTAACCTACACCAACCAATCCGCGGACAGTCAACAATGGGCAGTTTTAGTCTCCCCATCCCAGAAATTGCACAGACAAAGCAAAGGGAAACAGTTACTAAAGACAGGGAATGACTTCTGTAGAGCAGCAGCTGCGAGCACAGGCTAACCTTTTATGTACTGCTAAGCAACACAGAAACAACACATACAGGGAGATTTTAAATTCCTTTTTCCAACAAAAGATAAAACACGAGCCTCCGCTGAGGCCTGTGCTGGCACCTCACAGCTCTCGAGTCTTCGGGCGGGTCAGACAGGGCAAAGGATGAAACAGAACCCTCTTCTCCACAGAGAAGACCTCGACCCCCAAAACACGCGTATCCGCTGGACTATCCCTCAGGAGTCTGGAATGTCCCTCAGGAGTTCCGGCACTGCGAGCGCACAGCCCGAGCACCCTCACTCTGAGACCCCTCCCCTCACCCCCGGCCCCCCCTCACAGCCCGCGCGCCACGAGCGCCCCTCCCGCTGGCCAATCGTTGCCGGCGCCGCCGGCCGCCAGCCAATCAGTGCCCGGCAGCGCGGCGCGCGGGCCAATGGCGCGGAGCGGGGGGCGGGCTCTGCGCGTCCTCAGCGCGGGTGACGGGAGCGCCCTCAGAGCCGCGACCGCTCCCTCTGCGTTACAAATTGGCTTTTAGAGCACTGATTTCAGCGCCTAGACGGGAGTTAGTGGGCGTCAGTTTGCTAAACCAGTATAAGTCATTCATGTGCTTAATTCAAAACGTTTTCACTGCCATAAAGTGCCCGAGTAGGTATAAACACACCCTCAGGTGCGCGTTTACCAGCTTGTGGGTAAAGGGCGTCGACTGACGCTTGTGGTCTTTATTATCCAGATGGAACTGGATAATATGCTTTAATGGAATCCAGCAGTGCACTGCATAATGTGCTTTAATGGAATCCAGCAGTGCACTGCATAATGTGCTTTAATGGAATCCAACAGTGCCAAGGTGGGGCTTTACCTGTACTGGTGTGATACTGGTGTATCTATATATCGCCCAAACACGGCTGATAATATTTATCACGAATCTCACATACTCCAGTGGAATAGCAAGAATCGTCTCCACTCATACCTAGAATAAGCAGCAGTAGTGGAGCATCCAGGAGAAAAAACACCTTTCACAGCAGGAAAACCTGCAGCAACTGTAAATAAAACAGCACCGCTGACTTCCTAAAATAAGGAAAATAAAATCTCAATACTATAAAAGGCAAAAAAACCCTGTACACGAGGTATTTAAAATACCACCAGATGTCACTGTAATTCAAGAAAATGACAAGTGGTGTGAGAATTGGAGTATCTGCGCTGAGGAGTTGGGAGTGAGCAGCGCTGGGCATTTTGCAGGAGGAATGTCCTGCTAAAGCAATTCACTGCAGCGTTAACTGCCCTCATATTTACTGTTGGCAGTGGGTGATCCGAAGCAGATCGGTAATACAGCTTTACTGAGAAACCCACTGGGGACAAAATTTTACATGAGGAACTTGGAGCATCACTAGTTTTCTGTAAAAGCTGAATCCTGAATTTTGCTTCCATCATATGAAGCAAAAGTAATAAAAGCCAATTTGCATTCGATGCTTTCCCTTTACCAGTCCCATGAGCAAACACACAGGATGAGACTGTCCAGCCTTACTTGTTCTATAGCAAAAGAGAAGTGAGGCAGAGTTCAGAAGTGGATCCTACACTTTCCCTCCTGCAATAGGTACACTGAGACTACTTCAGTTCATTTCTTGTTCTGTAATATCAGTCTATTTTGTTTGCTTTAGCAGAAGGGAAATCAGCAGAGAGCAGAAGTTTCAGTAAGTTATCCATCAAACAGACCAGAACAGTGAAATTATTTGGGCCACAGACATGGAAACTGCACTTAAAAACTCCTGAGAAAATGGAAGCAAAACTGTTTAGGGGAGGGTAGCACTGTGTACAGGGACCTTTCTTTACTACAGCACCAGAAATGTTTATCCTTATTAGAGTTAGCGGAAAACATTGTTCTGGCCAAGGTATTCAATCTTTAGCACAGCTGCCAGTTTGCGTAGAGCTCAAGGGTCAGGAGTGTTGATGCCAACAGTTTTAATATCAAGTGTCAGCTGAGATTCTTGCACATCTGAGATCACAAGGAGAAGGCCAAGTCAGGAGAGAAGTCAGTACTAACATTACACTCATGTAATCACTTAGACTTGCTGTTCTGAGTCTTTATCAGCTGCAAGGTACATAGAGCATTGTAGTGAGCACTGATAATACACTACATTAAGTGCTGTAGTTACAATTGACTCTGTGTGCATATAGCTATCTTTACAGGTTAGAATTTAATTTTTTTCTTTGTAAAACAAATATAAGAAACTATGAATTTGAAACGAAATGTAAAAATAACACCTATATTAAAAATAGCACTAACAACCTGTAGGATAAACCTGATGGTCAGATGTTTTCAGAAAAAAAGCAGTCCTGCTCTTAAATAATCTTGCACAAATCCCCACCCTCGAAGCTAACACAAATTCACATTGTTTTCAAGTGTTTTATTAAAATCAAACAATAAAATCTTTATCCTTTGGTGGTCTCCTGGCTAGTCTGCACTCTGGCCATCATATTTATTTCCAGGTGATGCTTAATACTCTATTTTAGTGGGTAAGATTATTAAAAATAAGGTGGTATTGCTAGCTCTGATTCAGATCAGTAGTACAGGATAATGGAAAACAAGAGTCATAAAGACAAGATATTATAATATCATGTCTCCTGAAATCACGCTCCTTTATGCATCTACACACATATATTTATAACAATCTGTATACTTTGTAATAAAAAGAGATATTAACATTCTTAAACAACTTAGTATAGACATTCCTATGTATTTTAACAGTGATTTGCAATAATAATCTTTCCCCCAAGCAACTCTGAAGTGTTGAAGTTATTAACACCAATTAAAAAGTAATGGGCAATATCTGTCCTTATTAATTATGTCTTCTAGTTAAATGTCTCCATTTTGCTTTAGGAGAAACCTGGCAACAGATTATTCAAACCTGGAACTGGATCAAGTAAATGCTTGACCCCCATGAAGATGCATTTCCTATCAAGGATAAATCAGTTATTGCAGAACTGGACATGCTCTTAATATACCACATGTAGATATATTTTCAAGAAACTGTGAGTGAGAAGGACCTGATTTGAGAGGACAGACTGCAGCACTGAGAACTGAAAGAACAGAATAATAACAACTGTGAGGCTCAGAAATGCACATGCTGAGTCTAGCACAGCTTTGGAAAGTGCAATTAGAGGAAAATCCCTTTCTCTTCCATGAAGGTCTATTAGAATCAACAGTCAGCGTGCCTTTTTCCAACATTAGATCTTTATTCTGCAGGTGCTGCATACATAGAACTCTGAGGTGAAAGGACAACAAATTCCATGTTCAAAGTGGCAGCCTGACCATCTTTGCAGCTGCACAGACTATCACTGTGTGTATCAGGTGCTGTTCATTGTTTGGCAACTCAAACCCACCTGACCTCCCTGACTATGATGCTCTGTAAGTGACAACTCATGAGTTTTCTTAAAAGGAGTACCACTGACAGAAACAACATAAAATTGTGAAAAGCTTTTATTTCAATCTCTTGTATTACAATAGCCATAGTTTTATTATTGCTTTTTAAAATGAACTAAAAACTTTGCAATTTTACAACTGCTAGACTCTTTGTCCAGCATATGTGCTTTATTGATATCCTGTGTAATGTACTTTATTCTGGACAAGACATTTAATCACAGAAGACAACCCCCTTTTCATTTACAAGGATTTCATATGTTTCTTTAAAAAACGTGCTCGGAAGAACCTTGAAACTGTGGGCTACCAGACATTCATTTATTGTATGACAATAATAAATACGTTTTTAAAAAGTGCATTATATGGCAATAACCCTTGTGAAGAATTCACTTGTACAAAATCTTCATGATAAGGGAAGTGCTTGGTTTGAACACAGTGCAAGCAGTCAAGTTGTCCTGAGAAGATACAGAGGTGGTCATAAGTTTACCTTCATGAAGTGCATATTACCAGTACTTAATGGCTTAATCCCATTTTTGTTAACCAGAAGCCTTTTGATGCTCACTGCTGAATGTGACAAGAAAACCTAAGTGCCTGTTTCCTCTTTGATGTGACAGGTGCCAGCACTGGTGTGAACGTTTAACAGCTTAACCCGGAGATCACTCTCAGCTCAGCTGCTCCACTGACAGCCAGCAGTGCCAGAGAGATGGACTGCCAGGAACTGCTACTGCCAGTGCTTCTCCAGCAGTGCAAGGCAAGCAAGGAGAGCAAAGGGAATCTTGGAATAATGCTTTAGTATTTAGTATTCAAGATTTTGCACATGCCAATACCCGGAGAGGTGGCGGAAGGAAGACAATACAAGCCCAACTCAGACTGCTGAGACATTCATTTCCTACCCCTCTGCACTGTGGTACATCTGGCATTACCCTTTATACTGAGAGCCTCAACTTTCTATAATCTGTCCTTGTCTGAGATAACATTTAGATTTGACAGTTGCTGGCACATGACAGTCTCTCCCAGAAGATGGCAACAGCATCTTTCTGCCAGGAAGCCAAGGATTGCTCTGAGCTCCTGTCAAATACCAGAGGGACTTTCAGGGTCTGCTGGGTTTGCTGAGGGAAGAAATACAGTAATCTGAGAGGGAAAAGGACAGGGGAACAATACTTTAAAATAGTGCCTTTTATTCAGCACAGCTGCTCCTGTGTGTGTGCATGTCCACTTCCTTCTTACTTTACTGACAAGTACATAACTTTGCCTCCAGGGACTTAACAATAGTGGATAAACTTTAATGGAATTCCCTAAGTCAGCAAGTTTCATCTAAGTAAGTGTACACAAGTTCAATTCCTGCCACTAAAGATTCTTCTGCAGTCAGGGAAGGTGTGTTCCAGCTCACCTCACTCGACACCTACTCACTCTGGCATGATTTGGCACAACCTGCACTAATGCTGAGCTGCAGAATGGCAGCACTAGTCCCACAGGGTTCTCTCCACACTCAGCAGAGGTGATACAGTTTGTCACACCACAGGCAATCAACTGCAGGGAGAACATCTCCATTTCTAGGGAGAATATAGATTGACTAGTGCAGATATTGTATGTCCTATACTGTCTTGTCACTTAGTCACAGGAGGGCCAGCATAGGAGGCAAAATTCCTTACAATTAGACAATGCCCCTTCTTACAGAGTTCTCATCTTTTGTGCCATATGAGGAAGACAAGACTTACAGTTCCAGGCAAGAAGTTGCTGCCAGATTGGTAATGGTCACTGCTCTAACCCAGGGACACTGGGTGCAGGCAGCACTTTCCCCTCTGACAATCCCACCTCAGCCTCACCTCCTCCTTCAAAACAATTTCCACCTAAATGTTCAGCCTCACAGTGCTCCAGCAAAGCAGCCAACACAGTCAATACTCAATAGTTCCAAATAGGACTGAATTTTCTGAATACTCTGCAGGAGGTGCTCAGCAGCTCATGAATCTTCATTCATGACTTTGGCTCCTCTGAAAGCCAAAGCCTAATTGGAATGAGGCAGCTTCCTCACTTGAAATCCCAGCTTTGCTAAATGGGTACCACAAAAAGGAGCAACATTAAGTTGCCAGACAAATTCATTTTCTTGGGGTTTCTGCACTTCCAGAATTACTCAGGAGACGTTTTGGGCTAATATAGAATTGGTCATGGGTTCCTTAAAATTGTGATTTTAAAACCTAATTGTGATTTCAATAAATAAGCACCAATCCAAAATAAGATGCCCAAACAAGTGGCCTGATTGTCACAGTACACTCCTAAAAAGCAGCTTTTCTAATACCTCCAGCCAGCCAGCTCTGAAAATTCATGCTACCATATAAACTTTCCATGCAGTTATGAAAACAATGTCCATATATATGAAAACAATTACGGACAATCTTTTGCTCAATAGATCCAAGCCTGTTGCCAATCCTAAACCACACTGAAAACACAGAATGAAAGTAGTAGTGCAAGACTCATGGGAAGACGGTGTGTAACAGTGTTCCTGTGCTCTCCCTGCAGCAGAAGGGATTCTGTTTATGGTTTTGTGTATTAGTTTACTAGTAAAATCATAATTTTGCTTTGAAGTTCCTGCTTGTGCTGCAAAGGCTGCAGTCTTGGAGTTTTATAATGAGAAGTAGTTAAATAAAGAATTCAAAGGTCCTGCTGCAGTAGTACTGGGACACTTGGGAACAGGGAGCCAGGATTCAGGATCCAAGGCTCTGTAACCTGCTCCCTGTGCTATTTTTTTCCTTATACATATCTATATATCTATCTCATATCCATTTCTTGATTTATAATTCTACCAGAAACACTGGTAAAATCATGAGCATTCATATAATGTTTTGAGATCTTCAACTGCAACACAAGTCCAAAATTGCTCTAATTTCCCTAAGTAAATACAGGTGCACCAGGAAAGGACAAGAGAAAAACCTATTTGGGCACCACCTGAAAAAGATGAGAATTTCCCCAGGAAGGTCTGCCTTACACACATTTTAATAACAATCACTCCTGCTGCAAACACTGGAGATAAGAAAAGGCACCTTTTTGGGTATTTAAGGGAAAGAGAGGGGCTGATGGCATATTTCCATGTATGTTCTGCTCGTAGTAACATTTAATTCCCAACCCAAATATTAATGGGAATATTTAACGTGGTTACAGCCTTAATATGATATATATAAATACACGTACTCCCTACGGTGTCTGCCATCCAAATTATGCATAAATGGAATAGTGCCCAGACTTGGTGAGATAATACAAACAAAATTAGAAACAAAACTAGTAAAGCGGTTTAGTAAACAAATAGTACAAAATGAGATCAGTAAAAACATTCTGTGCAACCCAGAGTATTACTAGGAAACAGAAATGTGCTGCTTTACCCTCTGGTAGTCTGACAGCATTCCTTGAAACCATTCTGCTCACACATTATAAGAAATGACATGGGCTTTCCACAAGTGTATCTCAATAAAGATTTTGGCCCTTTTAGCTTTCCGAGAAGTTTGGAACAGTTTGTCAGGGTCACTGGCTGCTCCCCAGCCCTGGGACACTTTGCCAGGTTTGGCAGGTTTTACCAAGAAGACTGTTGCCATAGGAGCAGAGAGCCATGCCAAGGAACAGAGTGCCACCAAGACTACTGACAAGCTGCTCTGCACCCACTTCCTTTGTTCAGATGAAGTGGATCCAGCTCTCCTGACACTCCCTCGGCATCTTAAGGGGGTGGGTCCGACAGGTGAGGGTGTAGTTTTGGCCTCTGTTGTTATCCCAGTACTCCTGGCCATTGACTTGGTACCTTGCTGCAAACTGGACGAGAGAGCACAGCTGGAGGAGGAAAGGAGGCACAGGAAGAAAGAAAGTGAAAACATCGGCCTGATCCTGCCCGTTTTTCTCGGGGATGCTGTGGTGCCAGCGAGCACACACTTCGTGGAGGCTCTGCCACTGGTCGAAGGTGTAGCGCACAGACACCCGCTTCTCAAACGCCACGTTGCGAACCTGGATGGTGCCACTGAGCCCCAAATCGGAGCTGGTCACCCGCTCGAGACACACCTGCTGCTCCTGAAGTCGGGAGGAGAAATCCATACAGTCTGCAGGCTGCTGGAAGTCTGGGACCAAGCATTGCATAGTAAACTCCAAGTCTGAGTTGCTGTACCAGAGGTCTGAGTTTATGGAGAGCCTGGAAAGGACATGCAAGGGGATGGATGGATCCTCGCCAGTCTGGAAGACTTTCACCTCGGTGAGCTCCAAACCCAAAGCATCAGCAAACCTCACCCGGTTCATACGACTCTGGCACTCAGGAAGCTGACAGTGCACTGCTCTTCTCCTTTCGGGTGATGTGGGCAAAGACCTGGCTCGGCGGCGTATGATGGGCCGCAGTGCTGGGTCACAGCTGGAGGATGTGCTGCTCTGAGGGTGGTTTGGCTGGGGGCTCCTCTTGGCTGGAGTGCTGCCCTGAGAAGTCAGGCTGCTACTTGTATGGACTGCTGGGGGCTGCTGTTGTCCTCGTCGTGCCGCTCCTTCAGCCCTTAACATGTTCTCATAGAGATCAGAGAGATAGCTGGGATTTCTCCGAGGAACACGCACTTCCATTCTTAACTGATGGCAAAGAACCAGGCAATAATGAACACTGCCCTTCTGAAGCACTTAATTTGGAAATGGCAGCCACGGACAATAAGGTCTGAGGTTATTGCACTGGGTGCAGGAAGAAGGATCAACTTGAATGTCACCTTGTGAATGAAGGGCACAAACGTGGAAGCTCTCAGAGCAGCTGGAAGGATCCAGCGGCGAGGGCGGTCTGTGTAGAGATGAAGGCGAGATGAAAGCAGTCTCAGGGGCCGACAAACTCGAGATCGCTGTGCTGGCTGGTGCCCCCGAGGCTCAGGCTGGAGAGGGATTCGAGGCTATCACCGCTGATACTGGAGGAGCTCACGCACAGGCTGGAGAGCGACTGGAGGCTGTCGTGCTGGATAAGTGACTCCAGGCTGTCGGAGAGGGCGCTGGATGCCGGGTGCGCCCCGAGGCACCCCCGGCCGGAGCACAGGGCGAGAGGGGCCTGCAGACTGTCCTCGCTGACCCCCACCGACCCTGCACTGCCGCGGCAGCAGCAGCGGGACGAGCAGGGCGGACACTCCAGGCTGTCACACTGGATGCTGGGCGAGTCGAGCCCGGGGAAGGCTTGCAGGCTGTCGGGCGCCAGCGAGCCGGAGCCGAGCCCGGGGCTGCTGCAGAGGCTGGAGGGGGCGCGGGGGCTGTCCCGGCGGGGGCTGTCGGGCGGGGCCGCGGCGCTGGGCCCGGGGGGACGATCCGCGCCCGGGGCCGCCACAGCGCCCATGGACGGCACAGCCCCGCTGAGCCCGGCCCGGCCCGGGCGGGCCCCGCTCCGCTCCCGCAGCGCAGGCGCCGGGCCCTGTCCCCGCCCCGGCCCGCCCCTCGCTCTGCGCTGCCCGGGACCGCCCTCGGCGGCGAAGGACGCGGGGCCGAAGGCAAAGGCAAGGCAGGGACCGGGAGAGGCCCGGCCGTGGCGCGGGGATGGGGGCGAGACCGGCGGGAGGTGGAGGGGGCGGCGGGTTCGGGAACTCCGCGGGCTCTGTCCTTGCGGAGCGCGGGCACCGCGGCGGGCACCGCTGGGGCAGCCCGGGAGGGAGCGGAGCGGGGCCCGCATCGGCGGCTGCTGCGGGCACAGCCTGTCAGCCATGCCGGGCACTGCCATCTGTCCTGGGCACTGCCATCCATGCCGGGCACTGCCATTTCTCCCGGGCACTGCCATCCATGCCGGGCACTGCCATCTGTCCCGGGCACTGCCGCCATCCATCCTGGGCACTGCCTTCCATCCCAGGTACTGCCATCCATGCCGGGCACTGCTGCCATCCATCCCGGGCACTGCTGCCATCCATCCCGGGCACTGCTGCCATCCATCCTGGGCACTGCTTTCCATCCCGGGTACTGCCGTCCCGGTGCTGCCTCTTCGCGGCCGCTGATCTGCCTCGTCCCGGCGCTTCGGGGCCCCCGTTCTCTCCCCGCGCTCCTCCTTGGCCGGGGACAGGATGGGGGAAGGCGTGTGGCAGAGGACGAGGTCAAATGTAAATTATTTTCCATTTATTTTGCATTAGTGTGCATAAGCAATGCATAAACAGCAGTGCAGTGACTGTAAAGGTGGGTCAGCAGAGCTGTTGGTCACCTGTCACATTTGCACGCCGTGTCTGTGCACCCCAATGCGGTACCCTGGAACGGGGATGCAGCTCCTGGGAAATAAAAGAATGCCACAGATCCCGCTCTGAGTGTTTTCGGTAGGAATTGATGAGGCATTTGTTTTGGAAAAAGGAAAAAAAAAATTAAGTATTTGGTTCAAAATTTGCATACATGAATATTGCAAGAGCGCGTTTTTTGTGACACGAGGACAGCTCGGCACGCACAGAACGCAGGGGGATGAGCATCTGCTCCCGGTAAATTGGGAGCAGGAACACCCGCCCAGGTGGGCTGTGACGCCCGGCTCCAGGCGATCCAAGTCAGTCCAAGTGCGCAGGCGGAGCGATGTTGGGAATGGTGAGGATGGTGAGCACATGACACCGCACGGGAGCTCTGGTCACGCTGCCGACTCCCAGGTGATTCCCTGGATTGGGAATAGTAATGAATGATACTGGTTCCCATTAAGCGCGTGCTGGAGGAGGGGACAGTGTTTACCAGGAGCTGGTTATGTTTATGTTCCTGCTTTAAAAATAGAATCACATTGGGAGGGTTTGGTTTGTTTCCAGCAGCTCCAGGACGTGGCGATGTCTGCGTTTGATACGCTGTGTCTTGCAAACCCAAAAGACTGGAGCCGTTTGAAGATTATGTAAAAATAAAGGTGCAGACGCCCTTGAAAGAGAGGAATAATGGGACCAGGCATTCAAGAATATCCCTTATTGCTGCACAGAGAGACACAGCAGAAGGGAAGCCACAGCCACACCACAAATGAAAACCACAAAGGAATGGTAAAGTAAGGAAATTAATTTCTCTCTTTCTAGTTACAGAACTGTCAAAATACTGTAGACGAGTTAATAAGTGCCTGGCTGTACTGTTGAGATTGTCATCCTCTGCCCTGATCCACAGCAGCAGGAATGAATGTGCAGATGATCACGCAGGTCACAAAGTCACAGAGGTGACTGCAGCAATGCTGGAAGCATGGGACGTAGTTAAATTCTTTTATAAACTTTTGAACTTATGAAATCAGGTTGTTTAAAAAACAAAATTTAACTATACTGGCGTAAAAACTGTGAAAACAAGATGTACATCCTGGCAAATTAACTGAACTGCAGTCACACTAGATTAGACTGGGAGGGCACACTTTGTTTATTTCTGTTTTGAAATGGTATTTTAAAGCTTTTCTTTTCAAAATCAGCAATATTTCTTGTTTGTAGAACAGACACTGTTTTCTGATTCTTACAGAATACATTGATTTATTCATTCTGTGTGCTTACACAGGAATGTATCTGGTTTAATTGAGGAACTACATGTTTTAGTTTTAAGCTGCTCAGATCAGTAATGCCATTCCCTTTGCTCACATGTGAGTTTTTTCTCCTGCTAATATTGTCACGACCCCATTATAACATGAAATAGTGAGTTTTGTTTGTGCCTTTTGTAAAATTGTTTGTATTGGTAGGAGAATAGACATTATGCTCCCTGCTTACTTCCACTCCTTAACTTCAAAGGAATAATCCTTTAAGTTTTGTTTCCAGTATGCAAAGGAGGAAGACAAGCAAAATTTGACTTGCAGTTACCTTTATATTGTACTTTATAATAACTTTGGTTAAATTGCAGTTTCAGGTATTATAGAAATCAGTAGTTAAATATCTGATCTCTAATATCTATTCTTTATTATCCCAAAAGTAATTTTGAGATACTCTGGCAGAGGATTCTCTATAAGGGCTACATTCTGTTATATCATCTGATAGAATTATTCACTATTGCATTAATAGTGTTAAAAATACAGTAGAGCATTAATAGTATAAAAGTAAAAAGTGACCACGGCAGAGTTCTGGTGAACTTTAAGAATAGTTGCAATCAATTCTCTTTTCTAAACTCAATTGCATTCTAAGCTTTTATTGTATTTCCTTTCTGATGGTCATGTATGTTGCTATTTGTAAGTGATATTCTGTTTAATCCTTCATAGTTACAGCAATGGAAAAAGCCATCCGAGCACCAAAGGACTAAATAAACCAATTTCTTATGTGAAATCTTCTCCTGGAAGATTGGGCAAAAATGTATCAAGTGCCATTGAAAAGGTAAAGAATCCCTTTTTTTAACATAAGAAGAGTACCTAGGTTAAGTCAGCTTCCTAATAACATCACATACTCTGATATCTCTTCAGATTTCCCCTGACACTCAAGATGGTAACCAACCAAATGTTCTTAAGAAGGGAAGAAACCAGCTAGACAGCAACACTCAGTCCAAAAGGTAGTTTTATGTTCAGATTGTCTCTTTAATTTGCGGTCATTTCAGACTGGTTTATTAAATGCTTGTGATTAAATCATGGCTGCTGTGTTGTGCTTTTGACTTCACTGGCCCCAGAGTTCAGCATTTATGAGGACAACAAATCTAAGTTATCAATATGAAAACTTACTGTCCTGCCTTAGTGAATAAAATAAAATAAATCAGTAGTAGGAAGTGTTATCTCTACCAGCAAATATTAATTTTGCCTTGAGTTTCTGTGCCAATTTTAGCTTCAGTCATGTAAATCCCTGTCCTTGAAGGGAGTAGCAAGACCTTTGCAAACTGATGTTCAAAGATTTAACCATCCTTCTCATTCAGGATCCCGAGTGTTTGCCCATCACTGCACAGTGTGCAAGGACCAAAGAGGAGTCTCCCAGAAAGAAGGCAGAATGAATCTTTGCTGCACAGGATCCCTCCAAGCACAAAGGGCAGCACACAAGGAAACTTCTGTAGGGTTAAAGATGTCCCAGTGCAACATTTTTACTGCAGTAAAAAAGAACAGTTGGAAAAGAATCACGAAGAACATGTTGCTGGAGCCAGTCCAGGCCCTTCTAAATGGCAAGAAGCATCTGTAAGTGAAATGTTTCTTGATTTTGAATCAGTACAAATTATTAAAGAAGATGCTGAAGATGATAGTGCCAGTGACCTCTCTGATTCAGAAAGGATTCCCATTCCCCCCTCTCCCTGCACTCCGCCGGAACTCATTCTCCGAGCTGAAGAAATCGATCCCGATTGTTTGGAACATGTCCCTGAAATGGGTTTTAAAGAGTCAGAATATTACTACCCAGACTTCCTCCCACCCCCTTTCAACTCCTGGGACTTGAAGCAGCTGGCCATCTTTGTCCACGTGGAAGGGAAAACCGATTTCCGGCCGAAGCCGACGGGATTTCTGGAGAAATACCTGGAGCGCCTGGTGCAGCTGGAGTGGCTGCAGATGCAGACGGTGCAGAACGAGAGGGGAAAGGCAGCCAAGGGACGGCCCCAGACTGCTCCCGGCTCCACCCGTGCCCTGAAGAGCCCTGGCAAAGGCAAGGCATTGCTCAGCCCTGTGCCCAACAGGCAAGTGGTGCCCCAGGATAGTGTTGCCAAGCTGCCCAGGAGCTGTTTGGGTCACCGGGGGGATCCCCACTGGGAGGGAAGTCGCCAGGTACAGTCTCATCCAGGTCACTTGAGGCCGGCGGAGAGAACGGGATGTGCAGCACCTTCTCAGAGACAGGCTGGTGACGCGAGGAGCGAACTGAAAAAGAAACCAGCTGCAAAGCAACAGCTGCTCAACCTGCAGCCCTCCGAGAACGGCTCTAAAATCCAAAGTGTTGGTAATATCAGACCCCCCAAGCAAAGCCCGGCGTTCCACGGGGCGGCTGCTCCCATCAAAGGCTTCAAAACATACACGTGCACAAACCCAAAGAAAAACGGCAGCGCCAGCGGTTGTGTCCCTCCTAAAAAACCAGCGGGGGACAGGAAAATCAAAACAAATGGCACCCAGCAAACGTCACACAAATTCAAGTGAAGGAAAATTCATTAGGAAACGTTGCTGCTTTTGGCCGATGCGGGAGGGTTTTCTTCCTTGAAGATCCTGAGAAAATACGTTCTCAATTCCGAGTCAGCACTCTTCATTTCTGTACATTTGATCTTAAGCCAGCAAGGCCAGCAGGAAATTTTT